CTGCTTGTTTCAAAATACAACAACTGACCACATGCAGGGAAAAGCTTGTAATAGGACACAGTCTGTTTTGTCATGAATCTACACCATTACATAGTATTCTTGTACAGTCACAATGATTTCACCTGATATATGGGCAGGAATTAGCCCTGAAACATGGATCATAGACCAAACATTGAACTTGGGAGACCAAGAAAACCTCAAACACCTTTACATAAAAAGATTGTCAGTATGCCAAGTCCTTAACACTGAGGAACACTATTTAATGCAATTCAGTAAACTAAAAGGGAGAAGCTCACTGAATTACCTTCTCTCCAATAAAAATATTTTTGAAAATATGAACCACACAAAAAACTATATTTTCAAATGAGCCTATTTACATACTATTAATCAGTACCATGTTTATAATTATGAGCAAAGTGTACCTACCTTTTGACCTATACTGCAATGACATATTGTGCTGTTATCATGTACATTTGATTGTAGTCAATAGCAGTGATTGATAATAATGGGGCCTCGGGGTCCTGTCCAACATGAACCTAGGGACCCCTAAACATGTATGTCTAAACATTAGGATTTTGAAAAGAAAACCTTGACTTTTAAGTTAAATCTAAAACACTAATAAGTATACTGTAATGGTTTCTCTTTTCTATCTATCCGTTTCTTTGTCTGCCTATCCATATGTGTATTTATCTGTTTGTCCGTCTCTCTGTCTAATACAGAATTTGAAATGTAATGTATTGTGTTTTTATGAACTTTTAACCGCCTTTAATAGACCAAACATTGAACTTGGGAGACCAAGAAAACCTCAAACACCTTTACATAAAAAGATTGTAAGTATGCCAAGTCCTTAACACATTGTGTTTTTATGAACTTTTAACCGCCTTTCAAAGATGTGATCATATTCTTGAAGATACACACTACACAGAAACTAGAAGACAATACCATTACACCCCCTGTGCAACAAACAGTCATAGCTGAAAATCTTCACATCTTACTTAATCTTAGTAATGACTAAGTCACATCATTGTTTTAAATATTTAAATAATGATAAGATATTCTCTAAAAGATCATCTGGAGAAAAAAATCATCCAATATGGAAGACAAGTACACCTGAAAAATAAACTTGTAACTGGAGACATGACACATCAGTGCAGCGAAAGTAAATATAAAACAAAACAGATGAGCTCCCCGTTTCTTACAACAGGACGATGTTCAGCGCGTGCATGTGTGCACATGTGCGTGAGTGTAGATGCATCAGCTGCGTGATCATCGGATGATGAGGCCATTGACATCCCATAGTAACGCGGATGATGCATCCTCAACATGTGCTGGCGCAATCACTTTCATACCTGACATCCTGGACCATGCAAACATCTCCTGGAATGCACATTTACAGCGCTGACATGTTTCTAATCACAGATCCTTCTAATGACGAGGGACGTCACACTTATAAGCGTGTGCATCTCACCATACTAGGCCTCTGTTTCTGATTAACATAATGGATTGACGGACAGCATTCTGTATTATAATTGCCATGAAGAACTCCAGTGTATGGAAATAATAAGATCCTAGAACTGGGATCAACCAGATAAGACGGGTCAGGGTAAACACGTCTCAAAGCCCTGATACAATTATTCAGGTCATACAACCCTGTCTGAGTGATATGTGTGTTAGGAGGCCAGATATTTATATTAACATTCAACACATGTGAATAAGCTGCGTATCTGCATAAAATACACAAAATAAAATCACCATTACCCACTGAATTTTGAGTTATAAACACGGATCAAACGTTTCAAAAACCCAATTGTGAAACAACACTGTATATATATACTGATGTATCCTTTTCACACCTTATTACCTATATTAATATACAGATCTTTATACAGATCGAGTGCAGGCATCACATTCATATGAACTCTACTGCAGTGCATGATGCATTAAAACCTTGGTAAATCTCGCTTATTGTTAATTAGACATGTTTATCCCTGTTTAGTCTGTCATACAGACCCTGAAACAACTATATCCAATACAGACCATGCAAGTCTATAGTATTTAGCAAGTCTAAAATTACAGCAGTATCTGAAAATGAAGAGTCTCTGGGCTCCATTATATTATAATTCATAACTATATTTAACAATTGTTTTTATCCGTTCATTTTATATGTTCATTTCAGAGGCAAGATGAGTCTAATGGCTGTTGTGAGTTTATGCATACTGTTACATACTTGGGGCAGATATTAATTAGAAGTCACCTGAAACAGCATTAAATGTAGAATGATACAGCTGTTAGATTAATTGTCTGAAAATGTGGAGCATCTCTTTCAGTAAAGTGAAGTTTTGCTATGATATATTATATGTAACCATGGTAACAGTGTATATCTTCAAAAGTAAGTTTAAGGCTATTTAGTTATATTTTTTGTCTACACAACAGACACATCAACTATGTGGGACTTTTTAAAATCAGTTTACTGAATTTGCCAACCTTAAAATCATAGAAAGTGAGGAAAAAAATGACATTACATCAAATGCAAACTTACCATTCTCACGTGATCACCCAAAATATTGGGTACAAAAAGGTTAAACTGCACGATTGATGAAGCTGGTGGACAAATATGGCCCACATGGGAACAGATTCAGACAACATTTTGAAGAACATAAAATAAATCCTCTCCCTACTCAACTGACCACAAAAAAATCCATAAACAAACACAAAGTATCCCGCCTGAGATAAAACTGCCTGGTTACAAGTATCACAAGACCATGACAACCAGAGAATCAGATTGCTTAAAATATAGGTTCTCAACTTTTGGGAGGACTAGCCAGGTGTTACCATATTTGAGTGTAGTGTACACTTTTAAAAAAAACCAGCTGTGTAAAGTGTGTGCGCCTACCACATGCCTACAATGAGTTTTGGTGTTATTTCCCCAAAGCAAAGATGTTACAGTTTTACCTATTCGTTCACCTGAAGGGATACGCGGAAGCTTTTTCACTGCACATAACACTCAAAAAAGAAATTTTCTCTAATGGGGCATGCGCTAAATGCTGAGGTGTGCACTATACTCAAGAAAACATGGTACTGAGCAGGAGGCAGTGCTCCAGACTACCACGGTCAATTCAGAATTTACTCCACGTAATCATCCTCACTGAGGATTTCAATATTTCTTTGGTTTTCAATACACTTGTAGTACCTTGGGTCCAGAATATCGGATATTTGAAGCTAATGAGTTGGACACTTTTATGGCAATTATTTCAGGGGCTTAAGCTGCTATCATCCTTTTTTGCAAATATTGTGGTTTAATGTGCTGCTTGCGGCAGAGATTTTTAATTTTTGGTGGTTCTTGTGAATGGGCTTCACTGAAAGAGGAAGTCATGTGACAGGCACTTCAACATCACAACAGCCATACGTATATCAAGTTACAAGCTAGATTTTGGGCATTATTTACTGCAGTAGGGTTCATATACATGCAATTAGGCAATACAGAAACAGTAAAGGTATACTGATACGCAAGATGAAAATTCCACATTCTATATTTACAATACAGTATTTTCAAAATCAAATGAGAGCTGCTGTAAAATTAGCGATCCCAAACTTATTAAACACTCAAAACTTTCATTTGGGTTGCAAGTAATTTTGCTTTTCATTTGACAATTTCAAGTTTGGAAAACTCATAAGCTTCATGGACACTGCAATTCATACACATCACTGTGAATATGTTCTCATGATCACTGAAGGGTATCTGTTATGTTGTGTGATAGGCGAGGGTGCCAACCCCTGTAGGAACACCAGATGTCGAGCCCTGTAAGCAGTACTCTGGATGCCGCAGTGCAGTACTCTGAGATGTTTAGCTGGTACGTGGATACCAATATCTAAATGATCAAATCCTTTTTTCTTTTCTTGTAAAGAGTGACAAACCAATCAAATATTTAGCCCAAAGCTAGAGCACACCTGGTCATCCATCCATGTAAACACCCATGTCTAGTACACATGAACCAGCTGTGTACTCTGATATGACTCGAAGAGTTCTTACATTGGGTGGTATGCCGGGTACCTAGAGAGGGGTGGCACCATCATAGCGTATAAGGAACATGTCACATTCAAGTGCCATTTCTTCCGATTTTGTAAGCATAAAACAGTTACCAACATGCTACTAATGGAATTCGGATATCCTTTTCCATGGCTAAAACGTATTGAAATGTAATGTTTTGGGTTTCAAAACGCTAGTACACATTTTGGGAAAACAGGCAATCTGGGATTAAACATAATAAAACATTAACTCTTGAAATGAGTGAGTGAGTGAGTGAGTTGTGTTTAACGCCGCTTTTAACAGTATTCCAGTTATATCGCGGCGTGTCAGCTTAATGTGGGAGGAAAGCCCGAAGTGATGCAGGTCTCAGACGTTTATCACTTCGGTGAAACCAACGAGCACGGGTATGGTGCTGACAAACCTAGAACCATAATCGGGGCGAACCGGGATTCGAACCCGCAATCATAGGTTTCTGGCGTGTCCACGGGACACAGATCTGCACAGTGAATTGCAGCTCCTTAGACGACTGGGCCACCCGTGCCCCCAACTCTTGAAATGCTAGACACTTTCTCGCCTCGGGCGTCAGACATTTATGAACATTTAGTCATGTTTATTAATTAATGTCTACAAAAGCTCTATATGTAAATAAAGCATGACTTGTCATTAGAGCAGGGAAAACCGCATAAACTGTTTACCAGCATGTTGGCATAAAAGGGACATCACTATAAAAAATACGAACCAGTGTGAAAATTATTATGTCTAATCCTGGATTGGTTGTTCTCTCAAAAAAACATGCGTTTTGAAAAAAAAAATTCATTACATTAGAAACGATGTGGTTGTCCTCTTGAGAAAACTTGTGTTCAGGATATAACCCAAATGGAAATGAACGAAAACAGCAGACGGCATGGCCCATGTGAGATGTCGTGTCATGTTCCCAAACAAGGGAGCTCTTACAAGAAAAAGTGTGACGTACCTGGGGTTCCCTCGAAGGGCAGCATGATGTAGAGCGTTGAAGCCGTTGTTGTTGGCGATGGTGATGTCTGCGGCATGCTCCAGCAACAAGGAGATCATATCGTCTCTCTTCTTGCTGATGGCGTCATGAAGTGCAGTGTCACCTTCAGAATCCTAACACAGAACCAGTGAGTGAGTAGGTGAGTTAGGTCTAGCAATATTCCAGCAATATTCCAGCAATATTCAAGGGACACCAGAAACAGCTTCACTCAATTTACTGTGGAAATGAACCCGGGCCTTCACTATACCCAGTTGCTTGTAAACAGCATTAACTTGTGAACAATAAAAAACATTTTAAAATTGCAAAATTATTATGCATATAATACAATGTTATGGTAATCTTGGGTCATAAAGATCCCCACAACGATGTGAATAAAATAATTATGTGACTGAATATGTCAATATGTAAAAAAAATCAGAAATAGGACGCTATCCCTTCTGTTTCCTATTACTTCCAATAAACACAATTACAGATGAACTCAACTGTTCATCTCAAAGTAGAAACAAAATACAGACATGCAGCTGAATCTGTATCAGAGCAAGAATTAAATAAATAAATAATCAAGTCTACTTGATGGTAAAAACTGAGCTGACATCCCTAGGTCAAGGGGAGATAATCACCTGCAGACTCGGGTGGCATCCAAGGTCGAGGAGTGCCCGCACCACCCCGATGTGACCCTTGTTGACCCCGATGTGCAGTGGTGTTTGCCGCCGCTTGTTTCTCGCATTAAGATCTGCCCCTCCCCTGTGCAGCATTTCTATCACAGCTGGCTCATCACCAAAGGCAGCGTGATGAACAGCTCGATCGCCATCTTTGTCCTGTAACCATGGGAGCAGAAAGTTGTTCAGATATGTCAACCACTGATCAAAACAGACACTAGTGAGTGAGTGAGTTGGGTTTAACAGTATTCCAGTCATATCGCGGCGTGTCAGCTTAATGTGGGAGGAAAGCCCGAAGTGATGCAGGTCTCAGACGTTTACCACTTCGGTGAAACCCACGATAGCTTTCTTCCAAACCATAAAGAAAAGTTGGATACATAAAAAGAGGGAGACAACTTCTCGGCATCCAGAGGACCAGGTATTTACCATCTTCCTGGGGCAAGGGAGTTAACTGTCCAGTCCAGTATGATTTGAGATTTTTGCAGAGGTAACGATAGTCTATGATACTCCCGATAAATTAACGTAAACTCAAGCCTTAATGAAAGCAAAAGCCTCAAGAAATTACAGTTTGTATCTTGGAATATAACTACATAAGAGGAGATGACATATAAATGCGATGAAGTACGCAGACTGACCTCGACTTCCATATCGACAGCATGTTTGATGAGCACTTTGATGACCTCGATGTGGCCGTTCTGTGACGCTGCCTGCAGTGCAGTGTGTCCTGCAAACACGCCATTTACCTGGAACGCAAAAACATTTATCATGCCAATATCAGACACAAGAACATCAGAACAAGAACAGGACTGGAGGTACACATTCAGAGTAGCACAGACTTATGGGACTGCCTTAGCCAGTGTGTGAGTAGAGTTGTCTGTGGCTTTAAGCATTATACCACATTTTTAAGCAGGGACACCAACATTTGAATAAAACATCTCCATAACAAGCCAATGCTTAAACCACTAGCATACGCCATCCCTGAACCTGGCAAAGGAATCGTATACCAGGTGAGCTACTGCAGAAGACCCTCTCTCTGTCTTAATGGGGTTTAACGTCATGTTCAAGATTATTGCACATATATCGACGTGCATGCACGTGTGTGTGTGGCTACTTGTGCTAGTCCGGACTAATGCCAATTTTATAGTGCTAGCCCATTGAGATACCATGCAACAGTTTAACATTAATACCCTACAAGATACAGTATACAGACTCCGAGCCGACCAGTCCTTGTTTTAGCCCCATAATGCTGAGCGTCAGGCAGGGTAATAACAAGTACCATCTTTTAACGTCTTTTGGTATGACGCGGCTGGGGATCGAACACCCAACCTTCCACTCTCTGGACAGACGCTCTACCACTAGACCACACAGGCGGTCTTCTGCAGAAGACACACGAAAAGCCAGCAGGTAAGGGACACAACTCTGCACACTGATGTTAGTTCGACACACAAGGCAAATTGTGAAGTCTTTAATATATAGCTACTCAAGTGATGCTCAATTCAATTGTATAAACCTTCAGTGACTGTATCTCCACTGAATTACATGCTACATAAATCTGAATGTTGGACAACACACAGGGGTTTTGGTGGAAGACTGATATCTACAGTCGAAAATAACACATAACTGCTGCTCTGATGTCAATGCAGGATTGATCTGGACCTGCTCAGAGGCTGATATTCAAACCCAAGTAAAGGTTCCCGAATTGGAATTAAGTATTCCCCCAGTTCATGTTATATAGTCACAACAAAAATATGGCTTTGTGAAGTTGATTTGTGTTTCATGGATAACAGGACCAATGAAGAGGAAAAAACTTTCATGTTAAAATACCTCTGAATCTGAGAACTTAATAACAAACTCAGACAACTTTGATGTCTAAACACTGGCAATTAATTGTTGTGTTTTACTAACTTTTGATCCTAAATGTCATTTTTTGGAGAGTATAAAGAATGAAAGTTGAGTGACTTGAGTCCAGTAGAGTGACTGACCTTCTGACCGTTCAGGCTGACCTCCCCATCAGGTCGTTGTAATATCTCATCCACCTTGGACCCATCACCATTGGCAGCAGCCTTCACCAACTCCTCGTTGACGTCCCCGGAAACGTGTGTCTCAAACAACTTCTTCAGCAGGGCACTCAGACGCTCTACAAACATACATGGGTGGTGATAAATTTGCCAGCTTCAACTGAGTAAATCAGAATCCTATTTGATATAAGGAAAATCCAAATGACATGCAATACTTTTATTGATGATAGAGCCCATTCATGAAAAGGGCATTCCCAACAAGGTTAGAGGTCAAGGTTATTCCTCAGAACAGATCCCCAAAAGTATCAATATCTTCAAAAGGGTTGAGAAATTGTTGTGTGAGGATTATATGAACAAAACAATCACATTTCAACAGCTTGAAATGGTTGGTGTATTTACTATTTCGTATTAATAGTTCATAATATTTTAAAGAGTAAACAACCTCTAGTCATAATTGATTCCTTTGCTCATCTCCCGTCCATTTTGTCACAATTATGTGCACGAAACATTAAACAGGAAAAATTCTTTTCAACCATATGCATTAGAAATTTGAACTTCTTTTTGTCTCCATAGAAATTTCATAACAACCGTTAGAATACTTTGGAATACTTCAGAGTCATACAAGAAATATCAGGAGCATGGATTGGAAAATAGTCAACATCCATCAGTAGCACTTCAGCAGTACTTCAGCAGTACTTCAGCACCTGGCACAAACATGAACACCCATTCATGAAGATGTTTCAAAGGTCTGAACTTTTCCACCCGAAACAAATTGCAACAGACAGAACCAGTGTCTGGACATTGCCACCAACATACTCGAGCACTACAATATCTAAATTGCTGATGGTAATACATGTTTCCTGGCCCAAGGCAATTGCCCTGTGATCCTTTGTTAAAGTCGGGCCCTGCACTCAGCATATGTTCCTTCAATATGTGAATGTGCACACCGTTACCTCCAGACGAGCAGCCGATTGCGGCCCCATCAGCGGAGGCCACCTTAGTGACGGCCGAGGGGTTGTACGTCCATGACGTCCCACACACCTCCACCTTCAGATCATTGTCGTGGTAGATCTGCTGGACACGCCCGATCTTCCCAAGCGTCTGAAATAATACATGGTAATGTCCAATCTCATTAAAATCAGATCTTATTTCTCGCTGCATACATAGATCTGAAGACATCCCATTACGGGTCACATCAAAACGACCTTTTATCCGACCAATCAGAGTGTCACTTACCAGTTCATGAAATGACAGTCGGAATGGGATTTTTAATCATGAAATCTAAAAAAAATTAACATGTGGTATTCTGAACGACAGTTACAGGCTTTATGACTGAATCCATACAATCTAGGCCATCTATTAGCCATTCCAAGAAGCCAATCAAAATATTTTAAAATATGTTTCAAAGCATAGCACGAGCAAGCTGCCTTCTGATTGGCTAATGTCGACTTGTCAGTCATTCCACTGGTCGGTCAAAATTCGCGAAAGGTTGGTCTGACCTGAATGGGATGTCCTCAGATCTTTGTTTAGCGGTAGCAAGAACTATAATCTGACTTTATTTAGACTTGGTATTGTTACAATGTTGTGAGTTGTTGATTTACACCACAGGCATCCAGGTGGCCAAGGTCTGGGCCAAACAACCAGGGGTCGACATTACGAGCAACGTCACACGCAATGTCAACAAGGCTGACCACCCGATTCAAATTATGTTGCCTATTTAGTCTTATGACAAGCAAGATGTGCTGCATAGATATTCTAACTAACCTGTGTCCATGAGTGAGTGAGTGAATTTGATTTTACGATGCTTTTAGCAATATTCCAGCAATATAACAGCGGGGAACACCAGAAATGGGCTTCACACATTGTACCCATGTCGGTAATCGAACCAGGGTTTTCTCTGTGACGAGCGAACGCTTTAACTACTAGGCTACCCGACCGCCCCCAGTGTCCATGAAGGACGCACATCAAAAGTAAACTTTGCACTGCATCTCTTCCATAAGGATGGAAACTGTTCCCAAAATTTGGAAAGAATCCATGAAGTAGTATTCTAGTTTTAGGTCACATAAATGTTTCAGTAAGGAAAATAAAGTAAAAAGCATGAAAAACATATCTATTTTTTCAGAAAATCCAAATATTGAAAACAAACTTTACACTGCACCTTTCTGGTATAGGAACTGTACCCCCAATTGTAAAAGAAACCATAAAGTAGATTTCAAGTCATTAATCGTACAAATGTTGAGGGAAAAAAAAAGTTCCCAACATGAAAAACATATTTTTTCAGAAAATTCACATATCAACATTAAATTTGGCACTTTGCACTGCACCTCTTCTATTAGTATGGGAACTGTTCCCTAAATTTTTACAGAATCCAGGCAGTAGTTTTCAATTTACAGGTCACACAGATGTTTAAGTAAACAAATTCTAAGAACAAATATGAAAAAAGCTGTATTTTTTCAGAATATCCAAATATTGAAATCAAAATTCGCACTGCACCTCTCCTATAGGTATAAAGTGTCCACCAAGTTTGAAAAATATCTATGTTCTAGTTCTCAAGTTATAGGTCTCACAACAAAATGTCCTTGGAAGGACAGATGGATTGACGGACGGACGGAATTCCTTGGTAAACTATATACTCCCACCCTCTTAATTTGGAGGTTTAATTAATCCTCGGCCTCCGAATATCAAATGGTGGTCCTGAAGATGAGAAGGTAGTTACCGGCAGCATGGCCTCCGCCCACTCTCCATGGCCTCGCTGGAGCACCTTGATTCTCTCGACGTCATTACAGATCTGCACCAGGTCGCCCACAGCGAACTGTGTGGCGGTGCTGGTGTCGCTGGCGAGGGAGGCAGAGCTGCTTGCTGTGTTCACCTTCGTCAGCACCGCCGGGTTGAACGTCCATCTGCACACAGCGGGAAAACTCACTAATGTCAGGCATAGAATCTATCACCAGGACCTAGTTGAGACACTTTTGTAAATATGGGAACAATTTTTTTTTTTGCATGTGTAATGATTTAAGAAATGAGCAGAGAAATTTAGATCATTGCAGAGATGCCACCCTTAACTGAAGCTTTGGAGGAATCAGTTGGGTGAACAAAAGTAATTTCCTGAAGAAGAGTAATGTTACAATACCAGGTCCAACTTCTGAATTATTATCAGTGTACATGCATGTAGTTCCTGTCTGCACCTGCAGAACTTGATCTATAATGACTGAAGTGTGTTTTGAGAGAGCAACCAATCAGAGACCTTGTATCACTGAGTAATGGATATTTTTATGTGAATTGGAAGTAGGACTCTCATTGGTTAGTACTGACTTTCTGTGGAATGCATAATGTCACAGGTGCATTAAGAATATATGTTATTGATGTACATAATTCATGAAAAAATTACAAAAGTTTTAATTTGGGGAGGACAAGTGTAATTTTAGACACAAAATTATAACTTTTACACTAAAATCGTAACGGCTGACATCTTCAGTATTGTACCGATTTAGGAAATATTTCTTTATGTATGAGTTCAGACATAAGTCTAATTGCTATGTCATCCATTGCAGTGTTTGAAATGAAGGGGGTCCTGAGGTCCTAAAAGTTTGTTCTTAAAGTATTTGAACTTTGGCGAACTCGGAATCATAAACTTTCAGCCAAGGGAAATGACAAGGTCCCTTGACTTTCATGCTAAATTTGGAACACCGAGCTGTATTAAAGAACACGAGTCAATATTGGAAACTGAGTCGTGAAGCTAACAGGGTCGCAACAACATTAACACAACTTGACAATGAAGGCAGTCTCATTAAGTGAGCGAGTTAGTTTTAACACAATCATAGGTTTCAGGTGCTCCCAAGGGAAGCAACTCTGCACAATGAATTGTGACACTTAGACAACAGGGCCACCGATATCCCCCCTAAAGTCATTAAACATGTCAACAATACTGTCTATATTACATCATCAAAGGCATTTATATAACATCAATGCTGTAGAGTGCTACATCATTACAATATGATTCTTATGGATTTTATTAATTTGAGCATCTTGCAGCTTATGGATTATAAACATGTACATCAACTGCAAGGTTTTCAATGTTAAGAGTTACAAAGTTCAAACTGAGTGAGTGAGTGAGTTGGGTTTTATGCCGCTTTTAACAGTATTCCAGTTATATCGCGGCGTGTCAGCTTAATGTGGGAGGAAAGCCCGAAGTGATGCAGGTCTCAGACGTTTATCACTTCGGTGAAACCCACGAGCACGGGTGTGGTGCTGACAAACCTAGAAACATAATCGGGGCGAACCGGGATTCGAACCCACAATCATAGGTTTCTGGCGTGCCCAAGGGACGCAATTCTGCACAACGAATCGCGGCGCCTTAGACGACTGGGCCACCCGTGCCCCCAGTTCAAACTGAGCAAGTAGCTGTGTAACAGTGAGCATCACGGACAGTGAGAGGTACAGTCAGACTTACCTGTTGCCGCTGGGGTAGGAGACAACAATGTCATGATCCTCATCAATGCCAACCACCGTCCCGGTCGTACCCAAGCACTGAAAACAGGGACAGTGTATTTTACTTGTGTCACCAGTCTGTGACTTTCCCGAACCTGGCTCTCAGCATCATTCCAGTAGACTTTAGTGTTATGTAGACTAGCATTAGCTTAGTTTTCCAGCCATAGAGAATTTTACCCAACTCCAGCTTTGAGGCCAGTGTCTAACGTCGCAGACTGGATGTATAATTTTCATAATGTAAACTGTCTACAACAAGACAGGTGAGGTGAAATCGGGTTTAACGTCACGTCCAAGATTATTGCACTTATATAGCGACGTGCATGCAAGTGTATGTGGCTGCTTGTACTAGTCCGGACTGATGCCAATTTATAGTGCTAGCCCACTGAGATACAATGCCGCAGTTTTAACATGAATACCCCACTCAGACACAGTATACTGACTCCAAGGCGACTAGTCCTTGTTTTAGCCCCTTAATGCCGAGCGCCAGAAGGGTAACAACAAGGACCATCTTTTAACGTCTTTTGGTATGACGCGGCTGGGGATCGAACCCCGGGCCCTTCCTCTCTCCGGGCGGACGCTCTACCATTAGACCACGGAGGCGATCTACAACCAGACGGAATGTAGACTCTACTGCTGCATGCTTACCATGAGTGCTACAGTGACATAGGGTGACAAACACGACCACTGCTTACAACTCAGGTTTTGTTGCCAACGCTGTCGGGAACAGTCCGGATACACTGTGGTTCTGTATTACGGTGCTAACTTAGGCTCTCAGTATTACTTTGTGTGTCTCATCTGCCCATGGTCTTAAACAATGCTAAAATATCATTACTTTATTTCCAAAAACGATTGTTTTGAATATTGTAAACCCACCAATTGGTCCACTTCAAAATATATAATCCCGCCTGTAAAATAATCATCAAATGTCCCATTTCATAACAAAAATATATTCTGTATATTTTGAAAAGCTATGTAAAGAAGAAACTCTTGCTAATCTTTTACATTTTTTAAGTCTCTGCGTTCCGTCACTGAAACTCTCCACACAGCTAGAGCAACAGTTGCACATTGAAGATGCTTGGAGTTTAGGAGCATATGCATGGATGGAAAATGTCCACATGACATGATACATATAGATACTAAACGAGCTTCCGTGTAATACCAATTTTATGAAACGAGTGAATAGTTGTGGTATCTGACGAGCGAAAGCCATTTATAACGTTTTTAGAATTATACTGTTGAGTATGAATAGGCTGACACCTACACAATCCACGGCATAGTCCAATTGAGTTTAACAGAATAATACTTCAAACACGTCAAAAGTTGAAACGTATGAATTTAATACCATACAACGGTCCACCTTTAGAATTCAGGCGTCCGTTCCACAAAATTATCGTAGCGCTAATCGCAACTCACATACTTTAACTTAGACTAACAACTGTCGTTGCGCTACAATACGATCGCCTTGAGGAACGGGCCTTGCACCTCAAAGTTTACAATCACGTCACAATGACCGATGACATAAATTGTGGAATTTTGTTGCAAGGTCCATTGGCGAAACAATGCCATGTGACGTCAGCCTAGCAACAAGGTTGCTGGGGTCATCGAGTGTGCATAAGCTCCTCTCAGTGATCTATCAACTCCATACGCAATGTCGTAGAATAAGCCAAGGGATGTTGAGAGCTTTCAATATTTGTTTCGTGAAACGTGTTCCGAGAGTACATAAGCACGCGTTTTGGTATGACACAATGTGTAATACAGCTGTATGTTTATTAAACGGGTGATCTCTTCAAGGGCAAGTAATAAATCAATACATCAGTGCATAGAGAAGATACGATACATGATACACACTTACCTGTATCAATTCGTGTTTTAATCCTGAATCTATGCATATTTTAATCATGTACCCTTTCACACAAGGAACATTTAATACAATAAAAAACATGAGTATTGAAGCGCTTTCTGTTTGGGCAACTTCTGCTACTTTTAGTTTTACCAATCAGCAATTGAGTTTTATAACTTAAGTATCCAGGCACATTTAATAAGCACTGGTCTTGTAAAGTGAGTCGTGACACACTTGTTACATCCAAATGTTTTGGCTGATAATTCTTATGCCATCCAATAAACTGTCAACCATCAGTTTTGTTTTTGCGTACACAATGAGGAAAGGGAAATCAGAAAATTCTGTCTGGAAAAGACTACGAAACATAAAAATTCACACAAAATTGCAGCAAATTAAGTACCGCAATACGTATCATATCGTGAATAAAGTATCGCGATGTGTATTCTATCAGGAGATAGTCATAATGTGACATTCCGCCAAATATATAACCAGATGTCACTAACTATAATGGAACAGACTTATGAGTTGTCTTGAAGGTCATTTCGTATTACGTTATTCCGCCCATTGATTCTCTTTAAAGCCACGCATGGAGATGAAAAACCAAGCTGATACACTAAGGACTTAAAAAAATAAAAGAATTGGTTCTCAGGCAATGACTTTCAAAATATAGTGTGGACGGGTGGTGTTGTTTTTGTTGTCGACACTTGTTCAAAGTAGTATGTAACCAAATAAACAGTTGTGTACCAAAGGGCCTTCACACGTAAACAAGCATATTAACTCCTATTGCCACCATGACCATAACACAAGATGTGCAATATAGCAGTGTGCATATAAAGGGAAGTAACTGCATGCAAAACTGGATGTCATTGTTTGTAAGTATTTGTTTGAAAATGGAAGCATAAACGAAACTTGGGGCAAACTTTATGATGATGCCGGCAGAGTCAGGACTACTCTTTTTACTTACATCTAAGAAGGGTGGTGTGAGGCATTCTAATTGTTTTATCATTTGAATCACTACACCTCAAACCTGCTCGCAATATGGAACAATGGCTGATGTCCTAAGGCAGTGTTTCCCTTGATCTTATACAAAGTAGGATCATATAGCACTCCCATAAGCATGGCAAATCCAACAAGACTTTGAAAAAAATTATTTCTGAATACTCAAAGTGTATCAAATCTTTTGTAAGTGCTACGTGTGTACGATACCTGTCCATTAAATCATGACATGGTTGCTAAACAGTGGTTGAAGGCCTAAGCGATGCTCCTACTGAACATACCTCGAACATGCCGTCTGTCCAGCCTCCATGGCCATGTTGTAACGACTGCACAATCTCCAGGTCAAGGTCAACGTTGACCTGGTCACCAATGGCAAGACCACAAGGACCTGACCTAGACCCTGGACCTTGCTCACCTGCAAAATATGGAGGAAAAACCATAAACTACTTCCGTAATCACTTTTCAAAACGGTGAAAAATACCTCTCGTGTTCCCAAATCTTTGCATTCACCTAAAAATGAACCTGTTAATCCTGAAACTCTGCCTTCCTGGGTCAACTGTTGGAAAGGTCTACCATGATAAGGACATTACTTTGTACACATGATTTGAAACAGTTTGATAAAGTTCTGGGTGTATGAAGGACCCAGTAATCATGGGTACCGCAATCGCTGCAAAGAGTTGCATCCCTTGGGCTTGCCAGGATTCTGTGATCAGGGGTTCAATTTTAACATTTGCGCATGACCACTCCTTTGCATGCCATCTCTATCACAGTAAAGAGTTAACAAAAGGGCATAACAGCTATAGAAATTGGCACTAGTCCTATAGTCCTTGCCAGGTTGCCCAATATTTAACGTATCATAAGGACATGTAGAAATTTGCAATTTTAAAGGGTTTTGCAAAATGTTAGAATTAAAGGGACAAGTGGACTAAAACTGTTAGTTTCCATCACTGCATTAAGCTTGTGGAGGTGGCTGCAGTTTCGAAGCCTGGTCCCGCTACACAAACTGACTTACCCAGCAGAGGCAAGTGGTCCCGGTAGAAGGACCCTCCCTTCGCATCATTCATCACCTTCAGGTCCGCCTACAACACAAGGGAGATAATTGAGGCATGGTGAGGTGAAATGGGGTTTAACATCAGTCAAGATTATTGCACTCTGACACAGTATACTGACCAAGCCGACGAGGCCATGTTTAGCCCCTTAATGCAGAGTGCCTGGCAGGGTAACAACAAGTACTCTCCCGACCCTCCTCTCTCTGGGCATACTCTACCACTAGACCATGGCGGCGGATCAATTGAGGCAAGACCTATTTTTAATTGGTTTACAGATTCTGACAAGTTTAAAACAAAATGAAATGTGGAATATAATGAAATCTGAAAGCACTACCTCTTTCAATACCAGCAAATGCAAACTAGCAAATGCAAACATCAGGCCTAAACAGTCTGTCGTAATAATGAGATTTAACAACAATATCAACTTATAAGAAATGCATTACATGCCTAAACTTCTCAGTGAAAACATTTATATTATCGCCACACCATTGTTAAAGCATTAAATAATAGTCATTACAATTAGTCTAACATTCTTGAAAATAACTAAAATGATAATAGAAACAATCTCTCCAGAACTATCATAGTCCTGCACCATGACTGTGGAATATATTTATTTTATGAAAAAACACAATCTAGAAGCGTATACAAAAGCAAGTCTAGCCAGCTCTAGCTAGCTCTATTCCACATGAAACGAAATCAGCATAGGGAAATTTTTTTCAGAATCAAGAAGGATATTGTGTATTATAAGATTTCATAGACTAAATGTTAGTCTAGAACTATCAGAAAACATCATCTAATTTCAAAATCAAAGCATGGTCAAAGGGAGACAACTCTAGACAAACCCGTTCTTCTGTGTTTCCATGTTGTACTGCACTTACCATGCCCTCAAATCCAACCCTGTACAGGTTCTTGGCTCCGTTATCCCACAGAACGTAGGCAGCACTGCGGGGACTTGCCGCACTCCAGTCCTGTGTAACAGACGGACATTTATGCCTCAGCCAAGATACACTCAATATAAAGGTCTCCATAACCCTCATCTCTAAGGATGTTATTCTGTGTGTTCCACATAAGCAACTTCATCTAAATTTATTGATACCTAAGTTCAGTCGCAGCTTGATGTTGTCTCATCACTTTCTTATTTTCCTGGCATATGTCATAAACATGTCTACCGTATTCGACGTAATAAGCGCCCACGGCGATATTTACTAATATATTGGCTAGTGAACAATCCCAATTAGCACCCCTTCCGATTGGTCAATGTACAAAAGACTTATTTATTCGCGTATAATATGCACTCGTGTGTTATATGCACCCTTAATTATGGGCATTTAAATTCTGGAAAAAATATATCTGTCGTAAACATTTCAAGCTGTCATCAAAAACCACAAAATTTATCTTTCAACTCTGTTTTTTTCCACCAATTTAATATTCTATTAAGAGCCCCCTATTTCTAATTTTGAATGCGTATACGTTGAATACGGTACATACTTTGTGTAGAGATCAGGCCAAATAAATATCTTGGAAGATATGGTACATAACGCTGGGTGGGGTCTTTTGTGCTACGAATGTTGTAACTCACATCCTTTAACATAGACTTATTCAATAGTCGTAGTGCAAAGACTGCTTTGTGGAATGGCCCTTGCTTGCAGCTGACAGGATATAATTTATAATTGATATAATTGTTTGTGTTTGAATAACAGTTGTTGGTGACCTATTCTAGTCCAGAATCCCCACGGGTGACGGGACATTGAAGGTATTGGCACATCAGGAAACAAACACCAACTTGTGTGTCTGTGCCAGTGAAGGAAACAATGTTGTTTCCCATGCGCATCTTAGTAACCTTCCTGGATTCGTTACCCATGTCTGAAACAATATAAGTTGCCTTCCCTTCACCGCTCCGATTCAAACAATGCTGCTACCTACCTGTATTTCAGTAACCTTCCCCCTGCGGCCGTTGCCCCCATCCTGGTCCTCCCACTGCCAGTCGACGCCCCGCACCACCCTCGCCCCAGGGTAAATCCCCCTGGCTGTGATCTTCTTGCTCTTTCTGCGGGGTTCCAGCAGCACCCTGCATCAAGGAGGATGTCACCAGGTAAACATCACATATAGTGCCGTCTTGCAGTATGTCAGAACACAGACTGGTCACAAACTGACCCCAAACTTGGCCTTGATTTCAGTATTGTATAATATGCTTATTTCAACCATATTCCCGAGGCGAGGGAGTTTACTCAACATAAAAGTCCAATTTCCACCTTTCCCGAACTAGGCTGGAATTTCCAGGGTCGATCATAGCGCCACCAGTGGCTATTACGAGTTATGTCCCTTCTATGTCCCTCCTATTGGCCAATCAGATTTCACCTCTCATATAACTTGCATTTGCTTCAAACAAAATGGCGGCGCCCAGTCAAGATGATCTGATCAATAAGCAAGATCCATATTTTAATAAAACGAGTCTTACTGCAAGTAGTGCATCAAATCAGTAGAGGGCCTTGATTAAAAAAATGGAAAGATTTGCAAATTATCTGTTGATGCCCAGTTGGCAGTACACATGCTTTGCAAATCCAGCAGTTGACCCAAATCTGCTCGTTTAAGTCCACGTTGTTTGTGAACCAGGTGTCTTGTTCGTCACGGGAATTTGACTGGACTGTACATAGTCTCGTTAGTTCAGCAAAAAAGTAACTCTGGAATTCCAGCATGGTTAGGCAAAAGACGGAAACTGGATTTTTATAGTCAATTAACGCCTTTGCCTCGGGAAGATGATTTCAACGAATTTATCAACAGGCAGATAATCCTTCCACTCTCCAGGGCAAGCATCTCAAGGATGTCATGACCTGGACAATGACTTTGATGGCTAGATATAACATGATTCCTACATTGCTGTAAATACTGCACTAAAAGCAGTACCCTGATGGTTTGATTTCTGTTTAGTAGCCGAAGAGACTGTAAATATATATGTAGTAATTACTGGTGGCAGCGAAGGATTGAAGTGCTTGTAAAATGTTGATAGCTGTCACAGCCAGATTTTAACAGCGGTCGGCAGCAGCAAGTAATTAAGAGTTATCTACCCTTGTGGAAACATGAACATGGCAGGATTGATCGTTTGAGAAGTTTTGGGATGGAGACGGTTTCTGGAAAGCTGGCTGTGCTTATATAATCATGATAATGGTGACTTTTTCAACCTGACGTGTGTTTTGTACTTGAGTTATTAGAGTTATTTGCCCCTGTATGAACATGACAAAGGCAGGCTTGAGCATTTGAGAAGTTTAGGATGGGCCATTTCTAGAAGGCCGACTGTACGTTTATAATATATAATAGCGAACATTTGTGTCTAAATTACTTGCCAAGAGTAGATTACATAGCAAGTTGTAAACATTGAATGCCTGCCAACAGTCTTCAGGATACAAGAGTGGAGACAGCCCTGTTTCAAGACATTCAACAGTAACAAGACTCAAGCCCTACGTGAGAGCGCTTAGTTTGAATATACTTACTTATAGGACCTGTTACTTATTGCTGCTGGCACTTACTTGACCATAACATAGCCTTTTTGGATCATAAACCTAAAACTGTGTGTGTCAATATAATTTATGGATTACTTATCGATCTTGTGTGATCATATACTGATTTCATCATTTAGTGCTATAGAAAAATGTTACCACTTCCAGAATAACTCTGCATTTCAATTTGGAAATCCAACGTAACAATATGGACCACAACAAACGATTTAAACCTTCAAACATGACTTCTTATAATTATATCCTCAAAAAGGGTTAAACAAGATTGTATTGCTACATACAACACTGTTAAAATGCACTGAACGTCATCAACACCCCTGTCACGTATAAGTCTTCAAAATTAAGAATAAAACTCATGGGGTCATCATGGTCAATACCATAAACCTTAAACATTTAACATGTGTCAATTGACTCAATAAATATTGCTTTATGCAGCACCAGCAACCTTGCAGCCATTCGCTTATTCAAATACGATCCAATAAAACTCAATGTCTCCATGCCATTAATTTGAAACACTGTCTACATTATTTACCATGCTTGTTGTTTTAGGCCACACTCAGCAATATTTCAGCTGTACGACATCAGTTTGTATCTAATCAAATCTGGACCAGACAATCCAGTGATTGATATCATGAGCATCAATCTCTGCAATAGGGATACGGTGACATGCTTCAACCATGTCAGCGAGCCTAATCACCCGATCCTGTTAGTTGCCTTTTACAACAAGCATGGGTTGCTGAAGACGAATCTAACGTTCATTGGCATTTACCATGTAAAAAGATTTCAAGCAACACCACCAAACTACATCAGCAGTGCAGTCTTCAACATCAACAATGGGAAACTTCATTGTCCACCATGTCTACTTCAAAGGTTGATCAAACCTTTCGATTTTGTTCTCGTACCTCTCATTTCCAGGAGTGCCAATTCTGTAGAAGCGGTGTCGGAGATTGTGCTTATCACCATGGTAACACACGGAACACAAGTCATAGTTTGGACACTCTGCACACTTCCATCTGATACCAAATATGGGCTGTTGTCTGCACATATCGCACATGGTTCCATCGTGCTTGATTCCTGAAATTATTACAAGGCGCAGTTGAAAACTAGAACATAATTGAGGAGGCATTTCTGGGGGAAGCTGCTGTTGTTTCATCTTACCATGCTTACTAAACTGAAAAGATGACATTTATGAATACTGTTTGTGAAAACTGCACTGCAATACTTATTTCAATCAACTCCTGGGCCCATAATGAGTCAACTGTGTGAAGCCCATTTTAGGTGTCCTCCACTGATCTATTGCTGGAATATTGCTGAAAGCGGCATACAACACAACTCATTCACTCACTACTACACAGTTGCTGTACAGCCAAAAGTGTAGTGAGTGAGTGAGTGAGTGAGTGAGTGAGTGAGTGAGTGAGTGAGTGAGTGAGTGAGTGAGTGAGTGAGTGAGTGAGTGAGTGAGTGAGTGAGTGAGAGTATAAATTTAACCCCAATTTTAACAATATTCCATCAATATCACGGCGGGGACACCAGAATTTGGCTTCACACATTGTCGGGAATCGAACCCGGGTCTTCGGCATGATGCTTTAACCACTTGGCTACCCGACCGACCCTGCCACAAGTGTAAACATGGTAAATACACATTTAACTAAATGATAACTGGTCCGTGAATAGGATATTACTCTTCTTTCTGTGCAAAAACAACAAAGATCATTAGTGCTGAAGATGTTCAATACAAGACGATGATGATGATCACAGGTCATACATGTGACATGGTCTGGAGAGTAAACTGCGCTTCACCATGTTTACACGTTACCATGGTTCCAGGGCAAGCTGTGTTAGCATTTCAATTAGCACTCTACCCTTATCCTAAAAACACCCTTATCTGAAACTTGACTCGTGACAAGCTGTTAAGTTATATTCACATAATTTGGTCATATTCACATTCAAATTCTAAATGTAATTAGATGACTTCAATGAGTGAGTTTGGTTTAACGTTACTGTTAACAGTATTCTAGTTATATCACGGCGTGTCAGCTTAATATGGAATAAAGCCCAAAGTGATGCAGGTTTCAGACGTTTACCACTTAGGTGAAACCCATGAGCACAGGTATGGTGCTGACAAACCCAGAAAGTCAGGGTTAACCAGAATTCAAACACACATTCATAGGTTTCTGGTATGCCCAAGGGACACAACTCTGCATAGTGAATTGTGGTGCCAAAGACGGCTAGACCACCTGTGCACCAGAATTACTTAAGACTTACATGCGCAACACACTGTTGTTAACAAGACAAAATGTAGAATTTACATAAAACATAATAAATGGTCTGTTTAATAGCAAAATAAGTTTCTGGCATACCCTACATGTCTTAACAATGCTTAAGCCAGGGTTGCACAAATTATCTTTATTTTGGCAATTTCATTCCAAAATCAAAACTGAACTCACAATAAGAAATAATCCTTTAGCAAACTCAACATATATTACACATTCCCTTATTCACTCCACTTTCTTAATTCCTCATGCTTGTCTTTCAAACACAATACAATGATTGGACAGTCTACGACTTACATGAAACATGTTAAGTGCAGCAAAATACTAGTCCATATGTTGATTAAAAATTATATTCACAGGTTTTTTTCATTTCCACTGAACCAATTCCACAAAACGAATAAATAAAATATTAGGTGTTTTTACCGTGTCCGAGGTTGTAGGGCAATAAATGTACATTTTGCTCCCGTCATGCCTTACAAATTGCTAATAAGAATATCATTGACATATATACCTGCACCGCTGATAAGAAAGGGGCACATAACTCTGTATTAATTCTCCAACCATACTCGTATTTTGTGGTTACAATTTCCAAATATTATTTCCACATCAAGTATATTTCCTGATACAAAGCAATGTAAAAAATGTGGCCTTGAATCATGTTTATCAGAAAAAAAATCGTCTCTGATGATTAATTGATGGCTACAAGGAGGAAGGAAATTGACAAAACATCATAAAACTATTAAAACTTGACTCCACTGTGAGGTAATTACCTACTAACAACTGCTATCAATTCAGTTGAGTTTCATATCTAATTGGATCTATTAATACATGTGTAGGCTACTCACCACCAGCATGGCCAGCAGAGCATGGTAGAGTGCACTGCGTACATAATCCCTTTTATCACTGTTTATCAGTACTTAACAAAACAACCATGTCATCCCTGCAGGGTTTTACCTTGACCTACAAGCCCAGGGGTACAGAGGACCCCAATAATTAATGTGAAGGGTCCTCACAATAACCATGATAACTGAAAGATTGTATAATTACTTTAATTTCATGACCTTTACATTTTTGTAAAAAAATTGGTACAATGACAAATATTGTACATCCCTTTGGATGCAAAATAAAAAAAATTCCATTCTGTACATTTGCACGTACTGGACCCATTTTCTGCATTGCGTTAAACTCTCTCCCTGTATTGTGAAAGATGAAGGCTGCACAATATAATCCGCTCTTGGTGATTTAGAAAAGGATCTTCAACTTTAACTGTTTGAATCGCATTTTGTCTTGACAATCTTACAGGAATTGCAACAGCAAAAAAATAGATTGTTGGTTAGTTGTTGTTTAGTTGTTTAACGCCAAACTCAGCAATGTTCCAGCCGTATGACAGTGGCAACATTTCAGTATGAAGAGTTGTGTCCCCTAGGCAAGTCAGGATCCACTAATACTTTATTTGACTAGATTATGATTCTTGGTTTGTAGGAACTGTATCCGTGCTTGGAGGTGAAAGCTTACGACCAAAATCTCACCTAGCCTTCCCTGATAGTACTGAAATATTGTTCACAGCAGCAAACAAAACACACTCACCACTGTGCATAGGCAAGCAGAACTGTAAGTATGTTCTTTGTGTGCACAAGTATGAGTATTATCTATTTGGCTACATGAGGTTGAAATGCTTAAATCTTATTTGTCAAAGATCAGTAAAACACATCGTATTATCCCATAAATTAACATTTAGAGAATAACATGAATTTCAGGCAGGTTAGTTAAAATAGTATCATCATGATTATTACATATCATTTTCGAAATAAAATGCATGAAACTGTATGAAAAGTAACTCCACAAAGGAACTTCCCAGAAATCAACCAAATGTCCTGAAGAAATAATCATGATAACATCCTGCATTTGTGATGTCACGAAAATTGGATTACGGTACTGTACATTGGTTATATTATATAAATAACCAAAGCTCTCCTATCATGCTTAAACCAATTGAAAACAGGATGTAGAGAATCCTGTTACTCGTGTTAGAATTTATGAATTGTGTGTAATCATGGTAATAGCACTGGTCATATCCTGTTGAATACCAGGATATGTTTCAGATTTTTACAAAATGATATTGTGCTTTGCCATCTACTAATTATGATAAAACCATCTGAATATTTGTCATATAATAGGTGATTGAGTAATCATGTGGTAATAGGATTACCCTCATTGGATTATCAGAAACACTGTGAACATGGTGAAAAGGTAAGAATTTATGACTATCCCTATGAGTATCAAAAAGGGTTGTATTGGAAAGGCATGTCAGTTCCCTAAGATCGAAAAGGGTTGTTGTATTGGAAAGGCATGTCAGTTCCCCAAGATCGAAAAGGGTTGTTGGATCGGAAAGGTGTGTCAGCTCCCTAAGATCATAAAGGGGTGTCAGATCGGAAAGGCTTGTCAGCTACCTAAGATTGTAAAGGGGTGTTGGATTGCCAAGTTGTGCCAGATCCCTAAGATCGAAGAGGGGTTTTGGATCGCAAAGGCATGTTAGCTCCCTGAGATGAGTGTGTGTGCATTTGAGCATGAACCATGTTAACGGTAAAGCGAGACAGTAGTACTGTTAGCTCTATGGCTGTTGGTAGCGGGCGAAGCTTCACCCAGTAAACTGCATTGTAACCTTATATTTCTGCATGTATACAATTGTTTATAGAACATATTTAATTACTAAACAAACACCATCTCTTCCTATGACAAAACATTAAATGTGAACTGGGACTCTAATAAACAGACAACAGTGGTGTGCTAGACAATACAAATCATTACATGGTGTCTAGTTAAAACACACTGTCTAGACCGATCATATTTCGTTGTCTTAACGGGTTTCGTGAATCTTGTGTCACTAACCGGTCGGTGCACTGTCTAAGATTCTGAGGTCGTAAGCTCCGGCACATCTGTAATTGGCTGCCGTCCCGTTATCCCACACAACAACAACTTCCTCCGGTGATTCGAAGTTTCTGACTGTGCCAACGTGACCTTCCCCACCGTCTTGTTTACCCCATTTCCAGTCAGGACCACGGGCTACTCGCGCCCCTACACCCTCCATCACATTCATACGGAGCCCCCTACTGCTACTCGCGCCCGAGTCCATTCTAAAGAGGCTGTGTTACGTCCTCATACACAAAAAAACAGTTATGATCACTGCTAGGGTGTGAGTGGATATCTGTCAAAGTGAGCTCTGAAAATGGCCACAGTTCCTGGTCTCAGGTTTTCTCGTTGTCTGTCAACTTCCGCGAGATTTGACAAAATATCAAAGATGGCCGCAAGCAGAAAAACACAAAAAAGTCGTTCTCGTAGAAGATTAGCTGCCATCAGTTTCCTTTCCAATATTTCGTTGGATGGAACTCACACAGACACAAAGTTTCCACTTTTTAACAGAAAACATCACAGGTTAAAAGACGTATGTGTAAATGACTCGAAATCTGCTGACGTTAGTCCCGAGGCTCAAAACAGTGCGTGTGTCAGAACAGAACGATCGGCGTTTGACAACCAGGACGAAAACGTCAACGATGAAAACGTAAACACACAGAACAGTCACAACAACCATGTTGATCGGGATCATAGACAATCTGAGAAGGGACCTGAGTCGCCGTCAAAACGATGGAGGTAGTGTGAATACTTCAGACTATTGATTAGTTAGTGATTGTTGTGGTACTCACCATTGATCTGTCATGGTTTTGGCAGGCACGTGCTCATTACTGATGAAGATATTTTGTTTGGGTCGCTTGTGCACTTGGTATTCTAATGAGCATGATGAGTTTTTTTCTTCCTAGTTATGAATTCTTATAAATATTTCAATAAACCTGATCAGCTATCAGCCTCTGAGAGCACCTAGATAAATCCATGAGGATACGGCCTATTAACATGATAAAGTAGGTACCATCACACCTATGGAATATATGCCAAAAGATATATTGGAGGGTACTATTTTTTATTGCCTCTATATTTAGGTATAGTAGGTGTGACTGTGGCCTGACAATGGTGTGAAACTCCACTGATTCTTCCAATCTAGTTGGAGCCGATGCTATGTCTACCTCGTCTACATCGCTCAGTGTACACAGTAGCTTTAGGTGTCTTTAGCCAGGTTATCTCACAATGTTTGTCCTTTGAGGATTCTGGGGCAGAGTGGGTCCATAGTACCCAAACTAGTTAGCCAGCAAAGATATTAATCAGCCGGTTACAACTTGCAATATTTACAATGTATGACCTGGTTCAGTCATTGTTGATCATCAGAATTCAGCTGCAGACAGATAGCCAGAGACTTCTTCATTATCATTCGGCTTAGAAGAGATTAGATTGTGCCTGACCAGTTGTTCATGACAGCTTTTAAGACTTAACCTGAAAAATGACTTGCCTGATTAGTGATAACATTAAGGGACTCTACCTAAAAAGCCTGAATATCTACTATCTATGATTGCTTATTTTAACATGAGACAATCTGATTCTTGTTATCTGACCTACATCAGTGATAATCAGTGTTATTCTTAATCATGTTAATGGGTCTATTATTGCATGCATCAGGTGATTGGGTCTATTATGACATAAGTTGACTGACTCGCTTGAAGTATTATTTTCTTCAAAGCAATCTAATGTCCCAGCTTGGTTCATGATGCTCAGATCAATAGAGTGGGTGCAGGGGTGCACGCGCCTATTTTTGGCGCATGCAAAACTGACATGTATAAAAACAAATGGTGTCATTTGGTGACATCTTTTTAAAAAAAATAATGAATTGATTAAGAGTCGGATAGAAAATACATACTGTTTACTGAATTATTGCCTTTTTGTGTTTAATTGCGCACCTCTCTCATAATCATTAACAGCTAAATTGATACATGTATATCTTAAAATCTGAGTTGTCTGACAAAGAAAATGATGTTTGAGGGCTTGAATCCAATGTGTTATGACTGCCAATTGTCAGTCACCAATGCAGCAAGTGTTTATTGTTTGTACAGGAAAAGTCTTAGGAAATTTTTGTTTCAAGATTGAACTCCACACATGACATCATATTGATATCTAGCAAAACTTAACTAGCATGTTTTATTTTAAGCAGAATGGGGTCAAGTTAAGGTGTTTTTTGTGTGGATTGTCAACCTTAATTGTTTTTTCTATAAGCATGATTAGTAATTAATGATTCTCTTCACAATAATGACTTTGTTTGTATCTTGATGTAAATTGTTGTATCGTAATGTCAGAATTGTATCATGACACAATGTTTCCTTGCCAAAACCCCACAGGAGGGTTTCACTTGGTACAAGTGAGAGAAGCATTCAAAGTAGTATATCTTTTGTTTGTTTGTTTATTTGTTGTTTGTTGTGCACTCAGCAATATTCCAGTTATATGACGACAATCTGTAAATAATTGAGTCTGAACCAGACAATCCAGTGATTGATATCACGAGCATTCGCCCACGCAATTGAAATACGATGACATGCATCAACCACGTCAGCGAACGTGCCCACCCAATCCCGTTGGTCGCCTCTTATGTAACATAGACATGATAAACAGAGGGGGACAAATTGAGATTAATAAAGGCCATACTAGGATGGGAATATTATTCTCCCTGTCCTTTCAGTTGCATCTTTTCACCAATAATTTGAGACTGCCTCCTTGGTCTAGTTGTAGAACGTCTGCCCGGAGAGCGGAAGGTCCGGGGTTCGATCCCCGGCCGCGTCATACCAAAAGACGTTAAAAGATGGTACTTGTTGTTACCCTGTCTGGCGCTCGGCATTAAGGGGCTAAAACAAGGACTGGTCGGCCCGGAGTCAGTATACTGTGTCTGAGTGGGGTATTCATGTTAAACTGCGGCATGGTATCTCAGTGGGCTAGCACTATAAATTGTCATCAGTCCGGACTAGTACAAGCAGCCACACAAACACACACACATACATGCACGTCGCTATATAAGTGCAATAATCTTGGACGCGACGTTAAACCCAATTTCACCTTACCTCACCTCACCAATAATTTGAGAATTGTATTGGTTGGAGTTCATTTCTCATGGGAGGCCTAGTTGTCTAAGGCACCGCAATTTACTGTGCTGAGTTGTATCCCTTGGACTCACCAGAAACCCATGATTGTGGGTTTGAACTCCGGATCATCCTGATTATGTTTCTCGGTACGTCAGCACCATACCCATGCTCATGGGTTTCACCAAAGTGGTTTACATCTGAGACCTCTATCACTTGGGGCTTTCCTTTCACATTAAGCTGACATGCCATGATCATACTAAAATACTGTTCAAAGCAGAGTTAAACCCAACTCACTCACTCATTTCTCCTACCCAAATTAGCACTACTGCCTGCTGTCCAAGGTCGCAGTTTTGACAATATAGCCAAATCATATTAGACAGACGACATTTGATATCATGTGACGTGCTTTAAGAAGACCTGTATGCCACATTTTGATTGGCATGATTGAGCGTTTGTTCATTTTACGTGGCAAAACATGCTCTAGTCATGATGGATAGTTTGTCAGATCTTGACAGAGAGAGGAATCGACTTGGAGACAAAGATCTGATTTTGAGCCGTCCCCTGAGCATCCCTGAGTGTGTGTTGTTGTTGCAGAGCCTCCTCCTGCTCTGATGACCGAGACAAGTATGTGAAGCGCAAGTTGATGCCTTCCACCAGTATCCCATGGTCAACCCCCCAGGCCACAGCTCATGACCCTGCTGATAAGATAGGTAACTACCTCCAACATCGTTGCTGTCCATGTATAAAGGAAATGAGCGATTATACTCATCTGTTAATAGCAGGGATTTACCGGACACAAAATCCTGCATCCTTGAAAACGATTGAAAACAGATGCAAATTAAGTACAGAGTGCATCCACTGGGGCACAGAAAATTTAGACCTGTACAATTACAGGCTTTGAGTCTCTGGGCCCCCAATAAGTAACCCAGGTGAATCCCTGTAGTAGTAATGTACAAGTGAAGTTTTTCCTTCATGCCATACTGTGTAAGTGGTTAATGTAATTATATTTCAAGAATCCTGAATTTATCATGTTTATAATGATTTTTGAAATTGATATTTGGACTTGCTTACACGGTGTTCAAAATTTAGTGTGAAAGTCAAGGGGTCCTTATCATAACCCTAATGTCGAATGTTAATAATGGTAATTTTTTAGTGGGACGTTTTATAACATACAGTTTTTCAAATGAACGAGATGTTGTTCAGATGAACGCGAAATCGATGTTCTTAAATGTATGAACGACACCATTTGATGTTCAGTTTTTCATGATACAGTATTCTTGAAATGATGTAAACACTGACAGACTACTTTCACTCTCCTTGGGGGAACCCTGGAAATTCCCTAGCACGAATACGAATACATCATTTAGATCCTTAATCTTGAACTCAGCGTTTTGTCATACATTGAGAAACCTCAGAGGGTTTGACTGCATGATCGTTTACAAATATCCTCGCTATGACCCATCCTGGTGAACAGAACGAAGAAATGCACATCCAAACTATCGTAGTATCAACTCAATCCATGTCTAGCATGTCTAGACTGACAGTGACAGTCTACAGCAATCTATGAATCAACCTTAGTATCTATTTGACACGTCTATATTATTACCTTTCAATGATAGGCCAATTGATCAATGATGACCAACACATGTAACCACCACAGAAACTCTCCCGTCACTGTTGGCCATTTTGACGTCTTGTACTTGATGTACATGTTGCAATGTATTTTAATGCGCTGTCGTTGTGACTGACTTACCATGCTTACTGAGGTTGATCTTTACACACCTTTCGCATCCAATGATGATATTATTTCAATATATTTGTTGTAAACAAACTACAACAAAAGTTCCTGTAGAGCAAGTTCAGCATACATACGCTCAGGTCACCTCACCTGTTGAGGAACTATTTTTTTTTAGTTTAAAGGCAGTTCTAAAATGATTTAAGCTTTCTCCAGATTCAAATAACATAGGAGGAACCCATGACCCTTTATTTCAAACACTGCCTTCATTGTAACCCATGAATTATTATGTAATGATATAATTACTATCAGGCAGGATGCTTTAATTGTCCGAGTTGGAACTTGTGTCATATGGATTATTGTGATTGGCCATTTAGGAGAGCGTCTGGCTCGAAGGTCCAGCTCCATGTCCGGCGACTCGGCAGAATCCTCAGCCTTAAGAGAAGTGCGCTTCCTGTCTGGCAACTCGACAAGTTCCATCAGGGGTGGACGGTAGGAGACATGTCTTACCTACACTTTATAACCTATAGTGCCGTCATACAATTGTTCTTAAGGTTTCTTCAAATAGTGGAAAGCCTGTAAACTCAGTTGCTAGTAGCCATGCCTTGGGCATTCTGGCAGAATGCTCTTGACTTTCTAACTTAACTGAAGAATGTTACATCACCAAAGGTTTGTGAACATCCTTTTCATATGCATCTTATGTTGATTATTGACTGGTTAAATGTCGTGAATCGAACCTGCAACATCGCATGTTTAGTATTGTGACCAACTGTTTTCCCACTGAACCACCAAGACAGCTGATGAAAAGGTGTTCAATCTTACTTGTCACTGACTTCAGTTGTCTGCATGCTGCATGTGGACTTTCACTTGTCTGCTGTCATCAAATTTGTTTTATGCTATGTCTACTGTAAGGTATCCCAATATTTATGTGTTGTTTGTGGTATTTCCTGCATTTGAATGGTTCCTAAGTTATTTAAAACACAACTTTGGTTTGCGGTGTTACATCATGTACATATCTTTAGCATGTCGCTCCCTCTTGCAGAATGGAATGATAAATTGATATTACTTTGCCATGTTGTGGCACAGATAGCCCATGCAGTCATTTAAGGTTTGTGCAAAGTTGAGTAACTTTGGCCTTTCCTGTTACACAAAACTGAAAATTGTATTTGTGTATTTTTGATCTATTTGATTCTGAATGTTATAAATGATGCAGAAATGTCAGTTTACATGTAAAGAAGCAGGTTTACCATGTGTTTAAAAATCAGTAGACATCAATTATAATAAAAAGAACAGAACAAAGACAGATAATTTGTGACAGGTGCCTCAAGTGATATTTCAAGCAATGAAGGTGAGCTTCTGAATCCCTGCTTCTCTGGTTAGGACCTGTTAGACATTTCAAGATTTCTTGCTTTGTTATTTTCAGCAGCTACTCAATGGAGTGATGATGGAGATGGACGTAAAGACACACATTTTTTTATTATCCCTGTAACAGACATTTGTTTATCCCTGTAGAGATTCCAGGTTCAAGGATGTCCCCATGAACCAATGCTTGTCATGAGTGGCGACTTGATCGGGTGATACGACTCGGTGACTTGTTTGATTGCATGTCACTGTTCCCTGATTTGGTGGATAATTGCTTGTAATATCAGTCAGTGTATTGTCTGGTCCAGACTCATTTATTTACAGGGCACTGTCGTTATCATATTCCTGGCTTTAAATGAGGCTAAAGAAATTTATGCCTAACAACAAACATTTTATCACTGAGTGTAAGAAGCAACTCGTGTTCACTGGTGTGATCTGTATTTCAGTGTGGTGATAGTGACTGGGATGAAGGCGCCTGTCGCCATGTGCTCTGTGGTGCCCTACAGGCGGTCAGCAAACAGGTGAGGGCAAATACAACCTGTCTACAATCATATGTTTTAACTTATAGAATCTATAGGTTTTGGGGGGCACGGGTGGCCCAGTCGCCTAAAGCGCCGCGATTCGCTGTGCAGAGTTGCGTCCCTTGGGCACGCCAGAAACCTATGATTGTGGGTTCGAATCCCAGTTCGCCCCCCAGTTCGCCCCGATTATCTTTCTAGGCTTGTCAGCACCATACCCGTGCTCGTGGGTTTCACCGAAGTGGTAAACGTCTGAGACCTGCATCACTTCGGGCTTTCCTCCCACATCAAGCAGACACCCCGCGATATAACTGGAATACTGTTAAAAGCGGCGTTAAACCCAACTCACTCACTCACTATAGGTTTTGTGTAAGATTTGTGTAGTTACAAACTTGATGCATATTTTCATTGATACCTCAGCATATCCTGTGTACCAAAAAGTTCCTGATTGTTGATCACTGCTGAATTACTGTTTTTATCCTTCATTGAAATGTTCACACTTCTGAGTGCACTTGTTGGAAAGAAGGACCACCTCCGTGATCTAGTGGTAGAGCGTCGAACAGGAGAGCGGAAGGTCCGGTGTTCAATCCCCGGCTGCTTCATACCAAAAGACGCTAAAAGATGGTACTTGTTGTTACCCTGTCTGGCGCTCGGCATTAAGGGGGTAAAACAAGGACTGGTCGGCTCGGAGTCAGTAAACTGTGTCTGAGTGGGTGTATTCATGGACGCGGCGTTAAACCCCATTTCACCTCACTTGTTGGAAAGAAGAGATAGTGTTCATGTATCATGTATATTGCCCATGTTTTACAGTTTCCCATATTCATCTTTCAGAGGTGAAGGTCACAGTGAAGAAGGTCGCACACGGCACCACTCAGGTCACTCTGGGTCAAGGTCAGTGTCATCTCAAGATGGACTGCTGTATGTAGGACTGCAAGCAATAGTCAAGGTTGAAGAGGGTCAGGTAAGAAGTCACCGTTGTACACACACACCTTCATAACTTTATGAGAAAATAAAATTCTTTTATGCCAAATAAGGAAAATAAGCTGACCAATCCTGCAGAAATGTTGCCAGTCCTGCAATGATTGGCTGCCTTATATGAATATTTCAAACAAGAAGATTTATTTTTGCATATCTGTGGAATCAAATAGTACAAATAGTAATGATGCTCATAATATCAACCGCTTTCTTTTCTGTTCAAGACTTGATTATTTACACGCTGCCATGATATCGCTGAAATATCACTGACATTAAGTAGAGTAGTTGGAAGATGATTAATGATGACAATATTCTTCTAGGACGTGTCCTACAGTGAGTTTTTGGTTCCGTCCCGTCCTCTGGTATTGAAGAGGACATGTTCAGAAATACCCCACTCTGAATCGGTTCTTCTTCCCCCAGCTGCAGGTAGGTCAAGGTCATTGTGTAGGTGTGTCACTTGAGCTGTTGATAATTGTAGTGTATTGTACAATAGCTCTGTTAGATCACTGATGTGCCCCACAATGGCTGAGTTCCCCAGTGTTGTAGTGTGAATGACACTTGAATTGGAGATGATTGTATTGTTACTGAAATAGCCAGGAGATAAACAGTCACATGTGCAGAGATTTTGCTAGGGAGCGCAATTGTGGTATTCACTGCAATTTAGTTATATTCGTGCAGTTTTATATGAGTTGTGAGTGAAAGACAAATCCTCAAACCCTCATTTGAAATTTCACAGTGCACAGTATTTCTTATATATTTAAACTATATTACTTGTAAATAAGTAACAAAATTGTCTGTCATTAGTAAAGAAGTCGCGAAGCCAAGATTGATGCAAGCGAAGTCTGTCATACTCAATGACTTCCAGGAAATCCCAGTGATATATTTAGAAACATTGATCTGCACATGACTGGTATCAATGTTTTTCCATTTGAGATATCATGCAGATGGCAGAGGGATGTTATTTATCCATCCAAATAAAACAAAATCTTGCCTTCGAAATGAAAATATCGTTCTTGGAAGAAATGTATCTAGACAGATATTTATAAGAATGTCATTATGAGAGGTAGCAGATTCTAAGTGTTAGTAACAAGGTATGTACACGTATGATCTTGGCTATGACTTTCATATCCCCCCCCACCCCTCTTCTGGAACTAAAGGGGGGACCTCCCCCTCAAATTTATATTTCTGGCAAAGTCTCTGCATGTGCAGATATATTAGAATTTTACTGAATGTAATATCAGCTTTTGGTGATGGGTTTCATTTTGTTTCATCTGGCAACTTGTTAATATCTTGTCCTTCTCTCAGTCTGTGAAACTTGGTGATCAGAGGACACGTCATCTTCCCGAGGCAAGAGTGTCCATAAGCCTATCTCAAAGTCTAGTTTTCAACCTTGCTATTTCAAATGGATTTTCCTGGCCACCCTGTGTAGAGCACCTCTTGTGCCTCTTGTGATGAAAACGTGATATCCAATCAGTTTGCTGATCTTTTTTCGAATGGCTCCACAAAAATGGTGACTACCATAGAAGATGAACTAGTCGATAAGATAATGAAAAAGATTTGAGATTTTATCCCCGACAGACGAACAGAATGACGGATGAATCACAGTGAAAATCACAGTGAAGATATATATTACTGCCGCATTTCATTCTTACAGGGGCGGTAGGGTAGCCTAGTGGTTAATGCTCGTCTAGCCGAAGACTCGGGTTCAATTCCTCACATGAGTACAACGCCTGAAGCTCATTTCTGGTGTACCCTACCGTGATATTACTGGAATATTGCTCACATTGAACCATTGAACCATTCTCACACACTCATTCTTTCAATAATTGAGGCTCATGGACGACACATTATTAAGTGACACTTCACATTGTGGTAACATGAAACACTCAGCATCGTTGGTCTAAAAATAGCACCCATGACTGCATCTCAGTCACTGCAATAAGCGTTCAGTCATTTCAGTTAAAATACATTGAAGTTTGCACTCAAAAATGAAAAGGCACCCTTTGGGCCATGATTTGGTAAAATGTTGACTGATTTGACTATTGATCTGTGCATGTCCGTTTTATCACAGAAAAGTCAGATTGAAAGGGCGATGGTGAAATAGACTTTGATACAGGCTAGTGGACTCTCTTGTGTCGGTAAGATGAGGACTGGTATGCTCTTATGAACATACTCATCTACATGATCTATGGAAAACACTCACATTGTACCATGATTGCCATAGCTGATTAACCTAGTACCAGTAGATCTCCTCTTGGGGGGCTAAAGACGTATTATATTGGAGTAAAAGATCTGATTTGGGTGAGGTGTTGAGGATGTAGATTCCTTGTAATCAATCATGTGCACACATTGTGTTCTCCCACCTGTCTCGTGGAGTCTCCCCAGTATCGTGGAATCATCCACACATGTTTATTCAGCTGATGTTCACAGGGAACGGTTTTGCATGATGCGTTCATTGTTTGTTCTCACCATGCACTAAACAATCGACTCAGCTCCAGTGCAACATATAAGTCAGGTTGTGTCAAGAAATACTTTCGTAGAATACGCCCGACTCGAACTTAACAAATTTTATTCACCCATCCAGTTATTATCATCAAATCTGTATGCCGTTGAATGTGTAATATATTAAAAATGAAACGTGTGAAATATTAACAATAGTTCATTTGTCCATTTCCCGATTTTTTCAGCTTGTACTAAACGTCATCAAATTGACTTTTGATTGACATGGTTTTTGTAATAGATTATTTACTGATAGAAGGGATGAAAAACATCGGATTAATTGCATGTTCCATTGCTGGTTTGTTTTATTGAGTTTGAAGTTTGATAAATATGATTTGACTACCTTTGTGTTTCCGCTGTCATCATGATCAGGCCGGGAGTACTTGCGGAGTCACTCACATGACCCTAGCATGTTTTTCCAGCGTTCGGGGCTGTTCTCTGCCCTGGAGAGAGGTAAAACCACTAGCTGCTTCTCACACTCCTAACACCTCCTGTGTCCTTATAACGTGGGATCTCTGTTCATCACATCTTCCCAAGGCAAGAGCGTCCACTCACCTATTTATCAGAGTCTAGGCTTTGATATAGGCTAGTGGACACGCTTGCCTCGGGAAGATGTGTTCATCCATCCTTACTTGCAGTGTTACAGGTGAAACAAGTCCGACTTTCATCAACTTCTGTCGATAACTATTACTTTATTGATAAATCGAAACCTCAAATTGCTTTTGTAATTTGTGAACGAAGCGAGAAATTTTCAATGTTTGTAATAACGAGGGTAGTGGCATGGTGATCGAGGTTCAACATGCTCATGGTGTCAACTAAATTGTAACAGGGATCCCAGAGTTTTCTTGTCTGATCCTCAGCATAAATCTGTTTTCTGACACGCACTCTGCCTTGCTGTTCTGTTAATTGCACTTAGTCAGAGACTAATATCAACATTCGTCCCCAGTGGTACATGTTATTTTTCACTGCCCCATTGGCTTCCAGAATGAGTCCCCAGAACCTTACCTGTGGAGATCTGGGGTAGAATAGGCCTTCAGCAACTCATGCTTGCTGTGAAAGGCGACTATGCTTGTCTTAAGGGGTGACTAACAGGATCAGGTGGTCAACCTTGCTGACTTAGTTGATGCATATCATAATATCCCATTTGCGTAGATTGATGCTCATGATGTCAATCACTGGATTGTCTGATCCAGACTCGATTATTTATTGACCTCGGTCATATAGCTGGAATATTGCTGAGTGGGCGTTAAGCAACAAACAAACAAACAAGCTCAGAACCTGTTGCATGTCGTAGGAGTGGACCAATATGGAGATCGGTTGGTCAGATTCGGCCATGGCTGATTGCGAGGGATCAGACCCTGATGGTTTGGAATAACAACTCGTGCTTTAAGTCACTTGTTCGGCATGTCCAGACATTTGACGTGTCCAGGTTGCTGTGATATAGCTGGAATGATATTGACTGGCATTAAGCAAAATCCAATCACTCTTTCTTCAGTAAGGTGAACAATCTAACAGATCATCAAATCTATAACGTTATGTTATTAAGAGTGTCCACCTGATGTTGCGGACCCGTGAAGACCTGAGGTAGAATAGGTCTTCAGCAACACATGCTTGCCGTAAAAGGCGACTATGCTTGTCGTAGGAGGCGACTAATGAGATTGGGTGTCAGGTTCGCTGACTTGGTTGAAGCATGTCACTGATCCCAATTGCTTAGATCGATGCTCATGATGGCAATCACTGGATTGTCTGGTCCAGACTCGATTCTTTACAGACTGCCGTCAGATAGCTGAAAGATTGTTGAGTGCGTTGTTAAACAACAAACAAACAAAACAGATGTTGCGATAGGTGCATGTGTTGCTGCTGCTGCTGCACTCTCACTGCATTGTATTCATGGTAACATACACACAGTCATTTCTGTATATTTTTACAATGTAGAGGAGAAATTATTGTTGTAATTAATGATATGCATCAACCAAAAAACTAATGTCTTATACTGGCGTAAGGAAAGTGGGTTGTCTAATACTAATTACTTGGGTAAGGAGGGGTTGTCTAATGCTTGTGTAAGGAGGGGCGTCTAATACTGGGGTAAGGAGGGGTTGTCTAATATTTGGGTAAGGAGGGGTTGTCTAATGCTTGTGTAAGGAGGGGCGTCTAATACTGGGGTAAGGAGGGGTTGTCTAATGCTTGGGTAAGGAGGGGTTGTCTAATACTTGGGTAAGGAGGGGTTGTCTAATGCTTGGGTAAGGAGGGGTTGTCTAATGCTTGGGTAAGGAGGGGTTGTCTAATACTTGGGTAAGGAGGGGTTGTCTAATGCTTGGGTAAGGAGGGGTTGTCTAATACTTGGGTAAGGAGGGGTTGTCTAATGCTTGGGTAAGGAGGGGTTGTCTAATACTTGGGTAAGGAGGGGGTTGTCTAATACTTGGGCAAGGAGGAGGTTGTCTAATACTGGGGCAAGGAGGGGGGTTATCTAATACTGGAGTAAGGAGGAGGTTGTCTAATACTGGGGTAAGGAGGGGTTGTCTAATACTGTGGCAAGAAGGGGGTTGTCTTATACTGGAGTAAGGAGGGGGTTGTCTCATACTTGGGTAAGGAGGGGGTTGTCTAATACTGGGGAAAGGAGGGGGTTGTCTAATACTGGGGTAAGGGGGGGGGGGGTTGTCTAATACTGTGGCAAGAAGGGGGTTGTCTTATACTGGAGTAAGGAGGGGGTTGTCTCATACTTGGGTAAGGAGGGGGTTGTCTAATACTGGGGAAAGGAGGGGGTTGTCTAATACTGGGGTAAGGGGGGGGGGGGGGGGGGGGGGGTTGTCTAATACTGGGGAAAGGAGGGGGTTGTCTAATACTGGGGTAAAAGTGGGGTTTGGAGTGGGTCCAAATATGTTAATCAGGTACCTGGACAATTTCCCGCCCAAAACTCATGTGCAAATGTATTTGTTTTACTTTCAGTGTATGTGTAAGTTTAATTGACTTCATCCATTAATAATGATGCATCACTGTTGAATAAAGATTCCAAATGCAATCTATTTATTGTGACTTTGCAATGAAATTAAGCACCCAGCACAAGAATGTTCAACCAGAATGTGCCATTTTAAATATATCAGCAGCATGTTGCCTTAATTCAGGATGATGTTTCAATAAACAACAGCTAACAAAACTATCTGATCCTTGACAAACAGCTACCCAAGTAGTACCTTCTGTTGTTCCCTATCCAAATCACTCGTTTATTGAGGGAAAATACATTTTAGTTAGGGGAAAACTTCTGCTGACCTAAGGGCTGGAGGCGCTATTAAGTAAGTCATTGTTTATCACAACAAAGACCCTGCTTTAGTGGTAACGGATACACTTTCCTAGTGTCCTGAGCTATGTATGTGGGGATTCCTGGTAAGAATAGGTTCCTAGCAACCTACAATGGTCGTAAGAGGCGATTGAGTTGTCAGACTCATGACTTGTTTGATAGCGTGCCATCGTACCCCGTATCCACAGGCAGTCGTACGACTGAAATGTTGCTGAGTGCCCCGTTAAACAGCCAACTAATTTAGCTTTGTACCAAACTGCTAGAAGCAGTGATGGCACCACCCCTCTTCACAAAAGTGTCTTCTACTCAGCGATAGAAACTAATTGTTAGTCCACTAGTCCTTATAATGATAACATTTAGCAAAACTCTAATGGCAGTTTTCTGCTTGTCCTTATGATACCTTAACTAATGGGCAGTTGGCAAGGACTATAGGACAAGTGTCAAATTCTAACCCTGCTACTACACATGTAACTATCCACTCTATGCTGTGCTCTATATCATGTAGTTGGCCAAATTAGGTTGTTGCTGCACCATGCTTGACCAAGAATGAGTATGTAATGCTGTACCTGTTTACTGCCTGTTCAGTCCCGGAAGAGAACACGGACTTCTACGACCCCAACCTCCTGGACGACCCCGAGTTGCAGTCTGGGAGCTACAGGACTCTGATGACTTTCCCCTCCTATGTGGTAAGACATGAAGGAGCTTTGTACCTGTGTTCAAGTGTTATGGGGATTTTGCATATTGGTTCTCAGAAAAATAGAGCAACTGGTTGATTGTGTGTCAATGTACCCTGAGGTTGTGGATTGTTACTCATGATATCAATCACTGGCTTTTGTGGTCCAGATTTGACTATTGACAGCAGGAATATTGCTGAGTGTGCTGAATAAGAGGGATTATTTTGCTAGACATTACAGGAGGTCATTCGTGGCCGCAATTCACTGTGCAGAGTTGCATCCCTTGGGAACGTCAGAAAACTTTAATAATTGTAGGCTGAGTCCCGGTTTGTCCTGATTATGTTTCCAGGTATGTCAGCATACCCATTTTCATGATTCTTGTGGGTTTCACGGAAGTGGTAAACGCCTCAGACCTGCATCACTTTGGGCTTTCTCCCTACACATCAAGCTGACCAGCCGTGATATAACTGGAATACATCCTTAAGTCCAACTCTCTCACTCACTCACTCGACATATAACCATTACTGCAATATTGATATGTGCAATTTTGGGATAATCATGAACTGAATTGATAGCCGTGATATAACTGGAATATAACATCCTTAAATCCAACTCTCTCACTCACTCACTCGAGAAATAATCATTAGAGCAATATTGATATGTGCAGTTTTGGGATTATCATGAACTGAATTGATAGCTGTGATATAACTGGAATATGACATCCTTAAATCCAACTCTCTCATGCACTCACTCAAGATATAACCATTAGTGCAATACTGATACATGCAATTTTGGGATAATCATGAACCCTAAATGACAAGTATCATCAATTTCGAGTAATCAGGCAAAGTGTTTGGTGTTTATTCTGCCAGTTTGCAGCAGTGTGTCAGCCCCTTAAGTTAAGCTATAGCCTGGGACTACTGCAGTTACTGAATATCGTCATGGTTTATGCTGTGTTACTTCAGTTATAGTTGTCTCAGTAGATCGACCAAGATGTATGCAATAGTCTTGATGCCATCCACTATGTGTTGCAGACCTCTGTCATTGAGTACGTCAAGCCCTCCAGCCTCAAGAAGGAGCTCAATGAGAAATTCAAGGACAAGTTCCCCAACATTCAGCTCAGCCTCTCCAAACTGCGCAGGTACAACTCTACCATCCTCACTGGTCGTGGCAAGTGACCCTGTGGATAGCACACAGGTTACAAGTCAGGCAAAGTAATGCAATCAGGTGGATGGGTGACAGTGCTCAGCTGGCAAGACTCTTGAGCTTCTAGGGCTTTGGTCCTGCCCCACACTGAAGCACACATTGTATGTGGTATCTCATTAGGGAAGTAACTTTGTTAGAAATATGCCTCTGTTCACTCAGCACTGAATGGGTACCTGGTAGGATTGTGAAGTGAATCCAAACATTTAAGTACCTAAGAGATAGTTTGGGTTGTATTCTCCCCAGGGAGTTGAGATTGAATACTGATCTCACCTTGATTATTATCCTTATCACATATGCATGTTATTCAAAGTAGGGAGGCGACATTATATGGTAATCAGTATTATGTGTTAACATTGCCAGATCAAGCGTTCACTCACCCACATGTTTGATCACTTTTACAGCATCAAGAGGGAAATGAGGAACATCTCTATGGTCAAGGTGAGGGCTATGTTTATGTTGTGGATGTCATGTTGCTGAGGATTATGGAAGTCACATGATGCAGAACTATCATAATACAGAATTTACAAATCCTGCAGTACTATCACTTTACGTAGTATTTACATGATAGAGTTTTCACTCATGGTCACACAGCAGTCACATGAATACAGTTTTCACTCAGTCATAAAGTTGTCACTTGATGCTGTTTTCACTCAGTCACACAGTTGTCACATAATGCTGTTTTCACTCAGTCACACAGTTGTCACATGATGCAGTTTTCACTCAGTCACACAGTTGTCACATGCTACAGTTTTCACTCAGTCACACAGTTGTCACATGATGCAGTTTTCACTCAGTCACACAGTTGTCACATGATACAGTTTTCACTCAGTCACACAGTTGTCACATGATAGTTTTCACTCAGTCATACAGTTGTCACGTGATGCTGTTTTCACTCAGTCACACAGTAGTCACATGATACAGTTTTCACTCAGTCATACAGTTGTCACATGATAGTTTTCACTCAGTCATACAGTTGTCACATGATGCTGTTTTCACTCAGTCACACAGTAGTCACATGATACAGTTTTCACTCAGTCATACAGTTGTCACATATGCTGTTTTCACTTTGTCATACAATTGTCACATGATACAGTTTTCACTCAGTCACACAGTTGTCACTTGATGCTGTTTTCACTCAGTCACACAGTAGTCACATGATACAGCTTTCACTCAGTCATACAGTTGTCACATAATGCTGTTTTCACTCAGTCACACAGTTGTCACATATTGCTGTTTTCACTCAGTCACACAGTTGTCACATGATGCTGTTTTCACTCAGTCACACAGTAGTCACATGATACAGTTTTCACTCAGTCACACAGTTGTCACATATTGCTGTTTTCACTCAGTCACACAGTTGTCACATAATGCTGTTTTCACTCAGTCACACAGTTGTCACATGATGCTGTTTTCACTCAGTCACACAGTTGTCACATGATGCTGTTTTCACTCAGTCACACAGTTGTCACATGATGCTGTTTTCACTCAGTCATACAATTGTCACATGATACAGTTTTCACTCACTCATATGATCACCCCTTTCATTGTTTGCAGTGTGGTGTTGATATGTGGACTCTGGCCCAAGCTCATGTCTTTTTTGAAAAACTTATTCTCAAGGTAAGAAATAGCCAATAACCAGCGCTACAGATAAGCTGCGTATTTGCGTAAACTACCCCCAAAAAATATTCAAAACCCAATTACCTTCAATTAACCTGCGTAAAGAAACGCATGCATTAAATGAAAAACTTAAATTATAAAAACTGTATGCGTAAATACCCAATGAAGTTTTTTCAGCGTGCTTACAACGGAGCTAATTTCCAAAACACAATTACGAGCAAATTTACTTTGAGTCAAGGCTATAATTAGAACCCTTATATACATACAATACATTATTATATTTTTTTTTAAATCTTAAGATATTTACTCATTTTGGGAATAGTGAATGAAAACATATTGGTTACCCAATGAAAAATGTAATAACCCAATTAAAATAGAAACTTGTGAGTAAATACTCAATTGCTGAAAAAGTTATCTGGAGCTCTGCAATAACAGATGGTGTGAGTCCTTCAGCAACAAATTCCAATAGCAGTCAGTTATCATTTGCCTTTATGTCTGTCAAGGGATTTCCTCATATCTAATGTCAAAGATCACATGAGTTCATATCCCATGTCATATTTACCATGAAGAAACTATCACACAGTGTGAGTTATTAATTGCATAGAATTAGAAACACTGAACTTTGGCCACTGAAACACAAGTTTATTTTACTGAACAAACTTTACTTGCATCCGATATGATTCAGTTTCATATCAATTGGCATCATCCTCTATGTCTCCAGGGGTTACATTTCGGTAAACCTACACTAATCCCTGGTTCCATTCCCGTTGTTTTCACGATCTCAAATTACCTGCCCTTGATTTCCAGGAGCCAGTTTGATTTGCTATCAGAAAGCAAGTTTCAATCAAGCCTTAATGTTGGGTTGAAAATATCAATATGACGGCCAGTCTCATTGATTACGATAGAGTTTGTGAGAAATTCAATACTGAAAAACTGACTGACACACAAAAGAAAGCCCACAAGCCTACTCAATATACCCCATGTCTGCAGCCTGTTACTCAATATACCCCATGTCTGCAGCCTGTTACTCAATATACCCCATGTTTGCAGCCTGTAACTCAATATACCCCATGTCTGCAGCCTGTTACTCAATATACCCCATGTCTGCAGCCTGTGACTCAATATACCCCATGTCTGCAGCCTGTGACTCAATATACCCCATGTCTGCAGCCTGTAACTCAATATACCCCATGTCTGCAGCCTGTGACTCAATATACCCCATGTCTGCAGCCTGTGACTCAATATACCCCATGTCTGCAGCCTGTTACTCAATATACCCCATGTCTGCAGCCTGTTACTCAATATACCCCATGTCTGCAGCCTGTGACTCAATATACCCCATGTCTGCAGCCTGTGACTCAATATACCCCATGTCTGCAGCCTGTGACTCAATATACCCCATGTCTGCAGCCTGTTACTCAATATACCCCATGTCTGCAGCCTGTGACTCAATATACCCCATGTCTGCAGCCTGTCACTCAATATACCCCATGTCTGCAGCCTGTTACTCAATATACCCCATGTCTGCAGCCTGTAACTCATTATACCCCATGTCTGCAGCCTGTGACTCAATATACCCCATGTCTGCAGCCTGTTACTCAATATACCCCATGTCTGCAGCCTGTTACTCAATATACCCCATGTCTGCAGCCTGTCACTCAATATACCCCATGTCTGCAGCCTGTTACTCAATATACCCCATGTCTGCAGCCTGTGACTCAATATACCCCATGTCTGCAGCCTGTTACTCAATATACCCCATGTCTGCAGCCTGTTACTCAATATACCCCATGTCTGCAGCCTGTAACTCAATATACCCCATGTCTGCAGCCTGTTACTCAATATACCCCATGTCTGCAGCCTGTTACTCAATATACCCCATGTCTGCAGCCTGTTACTCAATATACCCCATGTCTGCAGCCTGTTACTCAATATACCCCATGTCTGCAGCCTGTTACTCAATATACCCCATGTCTGCAGCCTGTTACTCAATATACCCCATGTCTGCAGCCTGTTACTCAATATACCCCATGTCTGCAGCCTGTTACTCAATATACCCCATGTCTGCAGCCTGTTACTCAATATACCCCATGTCTGCAGCCTGTTACTCAATATACCCCATGTCTGCAGCCTGTTACTCAATATACCCCATGTCTGCAGCCTGTAACTCAATATACCCCATGTCTGCAGCCTGTTACTCAATATACCCCATGTCTGCAGCCTGTTACTCAATATACCCCATGTCTGCAGCCGGTGACTCAATATACCCCATGTCTGCAGCCTGTTACTCAATATACCCCATGTCTGCAGCCTGTTACTCAATATACCCCATGTCTGCAGCCTGTAACTCATTATACCCCATGTCTGCAGCCTGTGACTCAATATACCCAATGTCTGCAGCCTGTTACTCAATATACCCCATGTCTGCAGCCTGTTACTCAATATACCCCATGTCTGCAGCCTGTCACTCAATATACCCCATGTCTGCAGCCTGTAACTCAATATACCCCATGTCTGCAGCCTGTTACTCAATATACCCCATGTCTGCAGCCTGTCACTCAATATACCCCATGTCTGCAGCCTGTTACTCAATATACCCCATGTCTGCAGCCTGTTACTCAATATACCCCATGTCTGCAGCCTGTCACTCAATATACCCCATGTCTGCAGCCTGTCACTCAATATACCCCATGTCTGCAGCCTGTTACTCAATATACCCCATGTCTGCAGCCTGTGACTCAATATACCCCATGTCTGCAGCCTGTGACTCAATATACCCCATGTCTGCAGCCTGTAACTCAATATACCCCATGTCTGCAGCCTGTCACTCAATATACCCCATGTCTGCAGCCTGTTACTCAATATACCCCATGTCTGCAGCCTGTTACTCAATATACCCCATGTCTGCAGCCTGTTACTCAATATACCCCATGTCTGCAGCCTGTTACTCAATATACCCCATGTCTGCAGCCTGTGACTCAATATACCCCATGTTTGCAGCCTGTTACTCAATATACCCCATGTCTGCAGCCTGTTACTCAATATACCCCATGTCTGCAGCCTGTTACTCAATATACCCCATGTCTGCAGCCTGTGACTCAATATACCCCATGTTTGCAGCCTGTTACTCAATATACCCCATGTCTGCAGCCTGTTACTCAATATACCCCATGTCTGCAGCCTGTAACTCAATATACCCCATGTCTGCAGCCTGTTACTCAATATATCCTATGTTTGCAGCCTGTCATCAACAAGCAGAACCGGAAGCTTTGTGCAGCTGCTTGTCTGGTGCTGTCAGCGAAACTCAATGATGTCAAAGGGGCTGAGCTCACAAAACTCTTTGAGGTGAGTTGTGTTTGTAGTAGGTAAGTAGCTGTAAGACTTTTAACAGTAGGAACGACATGGTATACTTTTTATAACCAGCACAGAAGAATTTTATTGAGAGTTTCTTCCCTTGCTAAATGTTTTTAGATTTTGAGCAAACACAGCTACGGCCCTTGATCAATGTCATCGCTATATAAGTACAAAAATCTTGGATGTTAAACCCAATTTCACCTCACCTCACATTTTTAATACCAGTAGTTTATGTTCACTGCTATATGAACAATCTAAATTCTAATGTGCCCCATGGCAGGGGATAGTGAAAACACTGTTTTCTTGTTAACAGTTAGAATAACCTTGTACAGTCTTTATAACCAACACAGAACATATCCTAGATAAAAACTGGAGTCCTGTTCAAGGCGTTGAACCCAACTCACTCACTCACTGAATAATAACGCTTATATAATTGCAGGGCTGTGGGGTAGCCTGTGGTTAAAGCGTTAGCTCGTCACGCCGAAGACCCAGGTTCGATTTCCCACATGGGTACAATATGTGAAGCCCATTTCTGGTGTCCCTCGCCATGATATTGCTGGAATCCTGCTAAAAGTGGTGTAAAATGATGCTCTCTCACTCACCTATATTATATTATTGCAGCAAATAGAAGATGACTTTCGACTGCATCGCAAGGAGCTGATGGCGTTTGAGTTTGCATGTCTGGTTGCCCTGGAGTTCTCACTGCACATCCCAGACAGCGAGGTGTACCCGCACTACCAGCGTCTGCTGTACCGCTCATGACACTGGCCTCGGTGACCACCCTTAAACAAATAGACACACAGGGAACGGGGGCTGGCAAAAACTCAATGGACAGCCTCCAACAATGAATTTGTGTTGTCAAAACACAAAACTCAGTTCTTTTCCAAGTTATATACACTTGGAAAAAAGTTAAGCACCACACCTTCTTTAGTTTTATATATCACAACCCTCTACATGATGTTAACATCATTTTGACTTCAAGCCTAGAACAAGAACACTCTATGGTACTCAGGAAGAACGCAAGGACTGGTCATAGTATACGATGCAAAGAACCTGAGGAAACAGTTAGATGACTAGTCAGATAGTTGTTACAAAACATGTTATTACATGATTGATTTTGGTTTCTTGAATTCAATGTGTGTAACTTCTACACAAAAGGATGTCTTGTCCAAATATATATACAGGATAGGATTTTATGAAATGGCTACTTTATGTCGATATATATGGTTAGTGGTGCAAAATTATTTTCCAGGTATATAGAGTTATCTGCCCTTTTGACTTTGGAATCAAATACATCAGCAGGACACTAAATACTGATTCTTGTCTATGACGTATCAGTATCTGATTAAGCAATTGAAATCATCTATGCTTAATTTTGTGTCGTAGAATTTTTTTCTAGAAATGCTGACAAATATTGCTACATGAAAGTACATATGTCCGCTTCAGCAACTATGAAATGTTGTTGAAAAAGTCGAGAGTATTTCCTGAGCTCCTTGCCCAGCCCTGTTGTGTCGCTCTGTGTCTATCCTATTGTCCGAAGTGGTCACCTTTGACCAGGCCCTGCTGTGGAGCCAGGCACAGCAATAAGGGTCTGACATCGATCACAGACTCCGTGACCCCGGCTACTCATCACCTCACCTAGAGGTCATGTTGCTAAAGAACTGGTCATTTATGATAGCAGTGGGTGGGCCGTCGAAATTTGTCTTTAAGATGGCTTCATATTTTCTGCATCATATTTTTGTCATTATTTAGATAATGTTCAAATTTAAAAAAAAAATTGTTGAAAAAATAGAACTAATTTTTTCATGACCACCCCCCACCCACACCCCCACCTCAAGTCTCTCTAACCCACCCCCCACACCTACAATAAATGACCAGCTCCTAATTACAAAATGTAATGTATCTGTCTGTCCCACCAGCATATGATGCAGGTGGGGCTGTTGCGATCAGTAGCAGTCAAAACTTGCCTACTAGTCTATGATCAATGGTGTCTACCCTGCTGAACCTACTGGACCAAAGATGATTTTACAAGACTCTGGCTTTGGACTTCTGGATGAAGTCAGAGACTACTGGATCAGTCAGAGATTACTGGATCAGTCAGAGACTACTGGACAAGTCAGAGACTACTGGATCAGTCACAGACAACTGGACAAGTCAGAGACTACTGGATCAGTCACAGACAACTGGAGAAGTCAGAGACTTCTGTAAGACTGTGTTTCTGGAGTATATCTCCAAGACAGGTCAATATATCTCCACCAAACTTTGCATACATATCAACATCAAGGTTATTATTAAGGATATCAATGGAAATTACAGCAAGTCGTAATTTCTAATATTTTAAGATTGCAATTATTAACTTGTTAGTGTGGGTATCACGTGAGATATACGGAAAACTTACCAAACATTGTTACGGTGTTACTGACAGTGCTTTGTTGCTGGAGGCGTCCCGTGAAGATCTGGGTTAGAAAAGGTCGTAATAGGTAACTAACAGGATCAGGTGGTCAGGCACGCCGTCTTGGTTGATGCATGTGATCGTATCCCAATTGCATGGATCGATGCTCATGAAATCAATCACAGGATTGTCTGGTCCAGATTTGATTATTTACAGAAAGCCATCGTATAGCTGGAATATTGCTGAGTGTGGCATTAGACAACAAACTAACATTGCTGGAGGTGCAAGGGTAGCCTTGTCAGAGGGCCCTAGTGTGGATTCCTAGAATTATCCTGATTCAGCTTGAAAGTATGTGTACCTTGTCTTTGAGTGAGAGGACAGTATAGCCATACTTTGCGTAAGGTGAACGTATCATTTAACACACCCTATTCTAGGCTCTGTATCCTCTGTGTAATGTCACACAATAGTTGCACAGACTACATGAAGAAATAAAACAAGTAGTACTCTGGGAATTTCTGGGGAGGAAAAAGACAGGAGTCTTTTTAATGGTGTTGATTTTTGCTGTAAAAATATGTACTGCCCTGCCATCCTTCTTGGCATTGATGAGACGCTGTCACTCAAGTGTTGTTGCTGATGCTAATGCTGCCCAAACACCAAATTGTTTTTTAGCTTTATGACTTGTTATGACTTGAACCCTTGCAGCAGTTTATTGTATGCTGACGTATTAATGGTCTCTGTGACAAGATTCAAACGCCAGTTCTTTCTGCATATTGTTTGATGATGAATGTACTGATATTAGCTATATTAATGGATGATTTATTTCAATGCCTAGTGTCAAGAGTTATGTCAGTTAGGCCTCATTTACATTTTGGCATAGTTGACAGAAGTCAGATTTTGGCTTTCTGAAATATTTCCGACATGTCCTGTCATCAGTACTTCCTGGGTTTGTATAAACCTCTTTTCTCCAACACCCGTGAGTACAGAGGCTATACAGTGTAGTGATGGTCAAGTTTCAAGTCCATGACACAAGGTTTTTTAGAACTCCTAAAGTCAACTGAGCCCCACCCTGGGCATGTATGCTATGTGAATCTTACCCTTGCCGCATGTTGAAGACTGTGAGAGTAGATGACGGCAAGGCTGTAGCACGTGTTGCACGGTATATATTATAAGTTGTAGCAGCCTCTGGCTCGTGGTATAAAACCTAATGAGGAGTGCATAAAACCCCATGTACCCCTAGTGATCCTGTTATAATGAAGTTATCTTACCGACATGTCTTAACATGACATTGTAAAGGAATTAAAACAAATTCAAAATAGATAGAAATCCGCTTTTGATTGAGCCGAGGTTAGCTTGTGCTTTGTCACGTGACTTTCATTGAGTCAGAAAAAGCTTTTTTCTTCGAAGTGAGGTGTGAGTGATTTATCCTGCCTCTCAGAAATCCACTGGCAGACTGTGTTGCTCGTGGCAGACTATAAGGGATTTATTCTCCTGCTGAGAAACTGATTTCCCTCCAGGGCGGGATACATAGTATTTTATCAAGATCACGTGGCCCAATCAGATCTCATCATTCTGACATGGAGGTATGATAATACCATTTGTGGGAAGTAATCTGAGCCCTCATTGGTCAGAGCCCTGGAACCATGCTGCGGTTTAATTTGTTGGTTAAAAGTACCGGTAGTGACTGACACATTTCAGCTGTATGTCATGGGTGACAGAGAAATACTGTGTTTACAAACCCCAAGTATTGATGACACCCTGCAACTTGTTACATGTATTAGTTAATTTATTCAACTGTGTTTGTTGTTTGTTTTGGAAAACTCCCAAGAGTAACAAAGTGAAACAAAGTTTCACAAGTTGTGTTTTTTTCACTTAGAATGTAGAAGAGTTTGATAGGAATATCATCGGTAGTGAAATTGGTTTTATTTTGTTTAGTTAAAAGTTTTTATCTCGGGAAAAAGTCCTAAGAAGGACAAAGTGCAACAAAGTTAACATAGTAAGCTAGAGTTTCACAAGTTGAACATATTCACTTAGAACATAGAAGAGTTTGATTGGAATTTAGTTGGTAGTGAAATTGGTATTATTTAGTTTAGTTAAAAGTGTTGCCGTCTCCTTCTGTTCTCCCTCCAGCATCAAGCCAAGATTGTTGTTTTAATGTACCTGCCATATTTATTTCTGTTACTGAGATTACTTACTATTTACGTTTACAGTGTTATATATTGTTGTCATACTTAGATTGTGCTGTTGCACCTTGTGATCTCACGTTACTGTAGGGCAACAGGGAGGGAGCTGACCTGGGGGAGGGGCAAGGGGGTCCTCAAGTGGATGATGTTTGGGAGAGGAGAGATCCTTTCTCATTAGACTTTAATTATGTATTCTGGAATATCGAGATGGAATTTTGTATTTTTTTGTGATATTTTGAGCTGGTTGAATTTTTAGATATATTGAAATGTTAAACGAAATAGAAATATGGAATGGCAAAACAGTGTTTAAAATTAAGCGCACAATTCTCGGGGTCTTTGCCATGGGCCTAATGGTAAAGATTAAAGGGGTTCTCAGATTCAAATATTATTGGAGCAAACTATAAGGACCCCTTTAATTTTGAATAACTGCGTTATTAATGTTTTTGAAAGGTATGTATTAATAACTGTCATACCACATCTTGACCATACTGAATATTTTTTTGCATTTAATATTTAATTTTGTTTGCAAATTTTTCTGATGTGACTTTTCCATGTCTGACTACAAAAGATATTGAGTCTTGTTATAATGTATACTGCTGTTCCAAATACTCGGCTAAAGATGGCCCCCCCCTCTTGCCCTCCCCCTCCCTCCTGTGGACACAGGGGCCATAACTCTGTACCGTGCGATCTCACTTGAACACTAGTCACCTTGTGAAACCAGGCAAGACAGTCGCGCAACTCGACTAACAACCTCAGTGTTGTCACTTATATCAGGAAAACAATTTTCCATTATTGACAGAGACCAAATAAACTCAGGGGCAGAGCCAGGCGTTTGAGGATGGCACACCATCCAAACATCCCTTCTAACATCTTCCTGAGGCAAGGGAATTAACTGACTATAAAAGTCCAGTTTCCACCCTTGCCAAACTAGGCTAGAATTATGGAGTTATATTTCGGCTGGACTAACAAGTCTATGCATAGACCTATTTCGCATAACGAAATCGACCTTCAGTTTGTATTATGCTGTGCAGATAATTGTCGATTGCAGGATTTGCAAAGCATGTATATCCTCAACTCTGCGTGTGATCACGTGATTCGATGCACTTTGCGAAGTAAGACCTGGTTCATTTCAATATAGATTTTGATTATCGATCAGATCGTCCTGACTGGGCATCACCATTTTGTTTGAAGCAAATGCAAGTGATATGTGAAGTAGAATCTGATTGGTCAATAGGAGGGACATAGAAGGGACATCACTCGTAATAGCCACTGGTTGCGCTCTGATCAAGCCCAGCAATTCCATCCCAGTACGGCAAGGGTGGAAACTGGACTTTTACGGTCAGTGAACTCACCTGCCTCGGGAAGATGCCCTTCTAAGGGACACAACTCATGCAGACTCAGTGTGCAGAATATCTTGTATTGTCTTCCCTTGGTTCTGTCTGTCAAGGTTGCTTTATGTTTACAAATGATATGGAATATTACAGTGAAATGTTGAGCCTGAATAATGGTTTTCTGTACATGAATCGCTCATAATATTTCTGGGTCACAAGGTATTGGCGGAACCAGAAGCAGCAGTAGATCACTACATAGAGCATTATCATGGACCACTTCACCAGTGTCAGGACGTCAGGGTTCTGCCATTGTATAATGGGTGTCAAACACGACATGACATCATTACAGTTGTGTCATTCACAATCTTGGTAGGATGTAAAACAAATATGAATATTATTTGGTGTGTATTACATTTTCTAAAACAAGGCCAGACATGGCTGGATTCACTGTGTAGATTTGCATCCCTTTGGTGTGCCAGGATCCTTGATGCAACGAAAATTCTCATACATGTAAAGGGGAGTCCTCCTCCTTCTCACTAGCATTACAATTTACACAGATTATGACAGTGTATTGTGTATTGTTGAACTTGACAGTGGGTACAAGATAACATGTTTGTATCATCCTAAGAACTTTTGTAGGTCTGTTAAATTGCCCCTCTTGCAAAATGCTGTATCTGGCCTCGTTCCACAAAGCGCTCTTAGTGCTAGGGTGATCCTAACATAGACTTACAACAGTCGTAGTGCGAAGTTGATCGTAACTCCCATTCCATAACATAGACTTACAACAGTTGTATCAGTATCACTGAAGTGATCGTAACTCCCACACATTATTATAGACTTCCGACAGTCGTAGCTCTAAGGTTGCTTTGTTGAACTGGGCCCAGGGCATTAATTGGTTCAATACGGTGTATGTGTTGATTTGCCATCAATATTATTTTGTGTCTTTCTAATCTCCATGCTCAGCTACATTCTGTAAATGATCGGCCATTTCCCTGAAAATTTGCTGTAATAGAAAGGTGTGAGGTTGGCCGACAGGCTCAACTTTAGGGGCATCAGAAAGTATAATGATACAATAATATCATTTTATTAAACATACCACTGTCTCAAGAATTTTAAACATTTTCCAAAAGTGAATGACCGGGATGGTTAAATTAATAAGGACCACAGGAGACGAGAAACACACAAACCTACCAATGACCTTGAGCGAGACCTTAGAAGTTCTTGAAGGTTAATGAATACATATACATCATCATCATAGATTGTTACCCTTCTGTATGTGTGACGTTGGGACTGGGTATCGGTGAAGTTAGACGCGATGTATTCGGATACATCAACGTGCATCATGTATTGACAATGTATGAAGGACGGAATCAACATGTGACTTGATTCGGACTTCATGGAAACTCATGTCATGTTTAACCTCCATTAAGATGACCAACAAGTACACAGAAGTGTGTACTTGTGATGTTTCATTACCTTTTAACCATTCGGAGTATTTGTCCGGTGAGCGAAAGACAACTACCTGTTTGTAGGCGTTGACGAATACACAGATTTACTGTATGTTCTGTAGCTTACACAGGCTGTGTATCATACCTTTCTTGATTTATCATCATACTGTGCTGTGAATATGTATGTACATAGTCAAGATTGGCACTATCTCATAGCCCTCGTATATAGCATTGTACTACTGTGCCCAAGTCAAGGGAAAATGCAGTCTCATTTTCAGATCTTTTCTCCGATACGCATCCTATCCGCATGAAGACACTTCGCATCAGGTAACTTTCCAATCAGCTAATCAGCACTGAGGCTTCATAATTCTTGGTATGAGTGAGAGAAGCATTCAAACATATCTGAATTCTGTATTTCGAAAACGAGTATGATTGGGAAGTTCTGAATACAAATAAATTTTTGTTATGGTAATATATTGTTCTGGATATTTTTCTATATCCTGTTGTTTCTGAGTATTATGGCATCTACACCCAAAAGGGGTATTTTTGTGGGGGTTGCCTTAGGCTAAGATCCATTTATGCACTGAGGTAGTAAGGAAATGAAGCCAAATTGTTTTTGGAAGCCGACATCTGATTGGATGAAGAGCCCACACAGATCAGTCAAAAGATTGCTCAGGGTTCATCTGATGGGATCTCCTATGGAGGTATGCTCAGATGTTTATGCGGAGGGGTATTGTATCGGAGTAAAAGATCTAAATTTTACTAGACTGGTCAAAATGTGACATTTCTGTGCATGATATGATTGTCTTTTTTATTCAATGGAGGAAATTACAATCTGACATTTAATTGATGGTTATAAGCCTTTGCTGCAAAATCGTACTGATGAAATGCAAAATAAATATAAATCCAAAAGCTACAATTTGTCTTAAATGGCATGAAAGTCTGTTTGTCTGTACCAACTCGTCACCATAATTTCAGACATTGTCATGAAGTAGAGAAAAAATTGTTTCACTAACTATCATTAATTGTTGGTGTTTTAAGCATGTTGTTACAAGGGGGTCTGCGCAATAAACATAACAGCTGAAGGGCATCACGGAACACAGGGATAGTCTCAAAACTTGTATTCTGAATTATTTTCATTGTCACTGTCAACAAAATAATAATTTGACCGACAGCTGCGTGATCTAATCCATCTCATTTACAATATGAACCATTAATTTTGGTCTCAACTTTGTCAATGCACCCCGTCTGATGTGAATTACCAAGGTTATCAAATCATCTGTGAATTTCATCATGTACCATATTGTAATGATATATTGAGCTTGTTTCTGTTTATTTTATTATTTGCATTTGAAATTAGATGAATAGCAATACCAAGAACATCACTAACATTGATTTGAGAATAGTTTACAGATTCTTCTTGTATATTCTGTTTAATAACTAATACAGAAACATATGCTTCTGATTTAGGCTTTTCTTTTGACATGATTTTATGACAAAAAAGTAGTAGGTTGGCCTAACACTCTCGAATGTAGGGCTGTTCTGTTTACAGTGCAGACCCCCTTGTAACAACAGGCATTAAAATACCAACAATTACATGAGAGCTTCTAAAACAACTTTTTCTACCCTTCATGACAATGTCTGAAATTATGGTGATGAATAGGTACGGACAAATAAAAAACTTTCATGCCATTTAAGACAAATCGTTGCTTTCAGATATACATATACTCACCAACAAAAGAAATGCACATACCATACATGTTGGTTAATGTATGAAGAATTACTCATCTTCAAGAGATATTAGATTGATTTGACGCACAAATGAACTGGTATGTTTAGTGAACCGACAGTCATGAACACATCACATGAGACGTCATAGATCCATGACTGAAGATGCACCATTTGTCCTGAGCAGGATTTAAAATTTGGAAATCACCTGCAGCATATAAGAATAAAGACACGCTGTGGTAACACTTGACTGATTGTTAGTTTTGTCATTAGTGGTACACATTGGAAACATTTCTTCTAAACGTACACACTTCTCTCTATGTTCCTATGGTTTAGTTTCTTTTGGCGGTGAGTATATTTTGTATTTCATCAGTGTGATTTTGCAGCAAACAAAAATGGCTATCACAAATGTCTCGTCACTGTGTGACGACAATACATGGTTATGTTGTTGTTGTGATTGATTGTCAGCCATTACACCATTGCTTGTTTCGTCATGATACAGGTGTTTTGTTGATTTCAATGTTTTACAGTGATTATTACTGAAATCATCTGATACTGAAATATCATTTACAAGATGTCTGTTGATTAAAACCATATCATATCCGAGAATATATAAACAAATGATAAATATTTTAGCTATTTTTCAAAGCATCGTACATGTCCGGCATTCTGGTCTGTTGTATTCAAGATAAGAATCAGCTACACAATGCCAACTGAAATTAAAATTGAATATCAGGGATGGACGTTATCATGGAAAATCAAGCCTAAAAATGCTGAATGGAGATAGCGTGTAGAAAAATACTTAATACCCTAAAGAAATTTGTTATGCAAATTTCCTGGTACATCTGGAGATGAGGAAGCTAGTTTTGGACAGTCCTCATTTCTATCCCTGAAATTGAATTGATTTTTGAAAATTTCAGTTGTTTTACCTTTTTGTTATTGTAATCTGTAAACATTTCATCAGAAAGTGTGGTTACATGGTCCTGTATTCCCATGAGATGTGTCATGTGTGGGATGTCATATTTGTGCGAGAAATGTCGTGAGAGGTGTGTCACATGTCATGTGTCACGTGTGTCATGTGTCCGAGAGGTGTGATGATGCTATGCCAATGTGTGCTGAGCAGTGTGTGGATTCGTCTCAAAATGTTACTACCAGCTTAATGTTCTGGCCAGTTTTAAGTTTCATTACAAATTTGTTTTCCAGAAATTTGATTCTGCGAAGGTATCAATAAAGTCAGATATTATGAAGAAGGGTAACTTATCTTGCAACCTTCATTCGTTGCTGATACAGTGTATTAATTTGATTTTTTAGTTTTAATGCTTGTAATGATCTTCAGTAACCTTTTTATTTTGATCAACTAAGAGGTGCCCAAAACCAACCAGGCAAGGGACATTTCAGAATCTTTAGACCAACTGAATTTTTGCTAGTGACAGGCTGGTGGGCAGCGGCTATTTCGCACATGTCGGGAGTATCAGGACAAGAGTCTGTGTGTGGGTTTGTTGATACAAGAAAGCCAGGAGTGATATCTTGGACCAACATAAATGTTTATTTTACTACAGACGAAGTTGTTATATCAAGAATTTACTTAATATTTCTACAATTCAAAACATGCAGATTGTAGACAGCTGTACTTTTTATGTCTACATCACTTCCATCAATCACATTAATATTTCAAACATAATTGGTGTTGCTTTCAAGACATTGCATCGTTAGTTGGTGAATTACCAAGATTTTGCTTTTACCAGCTTGGTTATTCTCATAAACTTTCTCTGATTTGAAAGAACATAAAAACATTTTCCTTGGTTCGTTATATGACTTTTTGTAATGGGCTGAGTTGAGTAGCCGTGATACATGTATGTCCTACTTATATGAACTTGTCTTGCATGTCGTTGCTGGTATAATACCATTGAAGTGGGAGGCCGAGGCCGAGGCTGGTGAGAGGCTTCTGTATAATACCATTGAAGTGGGAGGCCGAGGCCGGTGAGAGGCTTCTGTATAATACCATTTAAGTGGGAGGCCGAGGCTGGTGAGAGGCTGGTGAGAGGCTTCTGTATAGGGCATTGTGTTGTACATAGCAAACGTGACTGTACAATCATCTGTGATATGCTTTTAACAGAAAAAAATAAAAGTGTTGAAATACTCATTTTAGTTTATTATATTTTGAAATAAGGAATGCTCGGGTAGAATATTTCAGGATGTCCTGCAGTTAGGGCTGCTTGTGACTCCTGTCAGTTCCAACCCTGCTCCACTTGGTTCCTTCTTGAGGTCTTGTGTTGGGTTTAACATCACTCAGCTAAACTTGTTGAAAAAATCATGGTGTATGTAGGATGTAACGGCAGATTAATCTTTCACAACTGTCTATGGGGCACATGTGTGGCCCAGTTTCTTTCACCAGACAATTAGAAACTCTGTGTGGTACTGTACCAGCCTACAGGATGATCTACGTGCACTATGTTCTGTACTAGCCACACTTACAGCTAACCCATGAAGATCCGGGGTAGAATAGTTCTGCAGCAACCCATGCTTGACGTAAAAGGCGACTATGCTTGTCGTAAGAGGCGACTAACGGGATCGGGTGGTCAGGCTCGCTGACTTGTTTGATGCATGTCATCGTATCCCAATAACGTGGATAGATGCTCATGATGTCAATCACTGGATTGTCTGGTCCAGACTCGATTATTTACACACTGCTGTCATATAGCTGGAATATTGCTGAGTGCGGCGTTAAATAAAAACAAACATACAGCAACCTATGGTGACATCTTCTTCCACTGCTGGTGCTGAGATGCTGAACACGCTTCCAGCTCATCTCCGTAACACAATCAACGTCACAAGTTTTAAAGCTGAACTGAAAACATTCCTCTCCAAAAGACCTTATGACGAAGCACCCCTGTGCAGTTCTCTACATTTCAGAGATATGTAAATGCCTATCTTCTCCTGACAGTCAAAGTGTCACCTCAGACTGTACTTCTCCCTGTACTCTGTACAGTTGTAGTGGTCCGATTCCACAGTATGGTCTATACTAGACAGCTTCACAAACAGCTTGCCATCCCTTCGTATCACAACATGTGTCCTTTGCTTCACACCCTTCGACTTCATTTCCGGAGGCTTATTCATGTTGAATGGATCTATGGACTGTCAACAGAAAGAATAACATTTTACCCTACAGTTGAAATTATTTTGGGTATATCCCACTGAGAATTACTGTTTGTGCTTCATGCTGATTGGATAGTTTGCACCAATCAGATCAGATAAAATCAGATCTTTTATACTCCAATACGATACCTCTCTGTGTGACGATCCTGAGAACACTTCCTTAGAAGGTTGCGTCAGGTGAAATTTCTGATCATCAAATCAAGTTGAGGCTTTTAAATTTTCAGCACAAGTGAATGAACCATGAGTTAAATGTCATATGTTAGTTTATAATTCAGCTGTGAGGTTATCCCATAGTTCCAACTGTAGATTACATAATTGACAGTTTACTGACTTCAATGCAAAGTTTAAGCTCATGTATTAATTGTAAGCATGTGCACTAAGAACAACGATCAAATCGCACAACACGTGCGGCACTGTGTAATATATATTTTCATGTATTATTGATTATTCTAACTTTCAGACTATCATAAATCTGGAAGTAGTATATATTACCTTGATGCTGTAATTTAAGTCGGGTAACGTACACATAACTGGACATTCGTCACAAATAATCACATGATACTCGCCAGTTTTGTACATTATTTGTAACAAGTGTCCAGTTGCATGTGCTTTATCCTCAACAGAATATAATATAATACAAGAATGTGGAAACAAAATAAGAATTTTTTAAAATCTCCTTAACAACAAACTATGCTGGAAAGTAAACCAAACTGCAGGGTTTTTGGCCAGTGTAGGAAATAAATAATAATGCCAAGCTGCCATCTTATTGTGACAAATAAATTGACACGTGAAATTTACTGCAGGCCAAAAGGACTCATACTTTTTTTAAACTATGGGCCCAATACAAGATCTACCTGTCTCGGGGTCTAGATCTAGGAACTTATTTCGAAACACTGTTTGTATTGGTATTGTGGAAAGTTGTAAGCCTTGAAAGGTGATGACCCACCTGATATATTCCCTCGCCATTGGCCACACAGATCATATAGTTGTGCCAGGGACATCGTACACAGGTCCACTGACCAATGTCCTGGAAGAAAAGCAAACTCCTTGAAACTAAACTTTTATATAAAGAGGCAATAATCAGATTAATTTCTATATTATTAAACTGACTCTCCAAGCATCTGCATGAAGGAGTGTTAGGATTACAATACAATACAATACAATACAATACAATACAATACAATACAATACAATACAATTCATCAAGTACAGAAAGAAGGGAACAGAGTGAATTTCTTTGTTGGTACATGGCAGGTTTCGTACAGGCTTGAAAAAGCTGTGAATTTTAAGTTCCCTCTTGAAAAGCTTTGATTTTTAATGTCAACCCTAAAAAGAAAGCCTTGACTTTGTACAAAATGACATACCGGTATACATGTAATCAAAGTATTAAAGCATACAAAAATCTCTGCCAAAGATGTTCAAGTGAGATTTATCACAGTGATGGATTTGTGTGCCAAAGACCCTTAAGAATTCAAGATAGATTTAATAATTCTTTTGTTGGATGAAAAATAAATCTTGTTGGAAATGTGTGATGGTTATACTGCTTTGTAGATCTTACAAATTAAAAATAGAATGCTGGTTTTAAAACAATATCGACAACCTAAGGCTAATAACCCAACTACAAAAGTCTTGAAAATGAGAGCTAGCAGCCTTGAAAAGACATTGAATTTTAGTCTTCCATATCTGTATGAACATTGCCTGGGTACAATAAACATATTGTGATGCATTCTGTATGATAGTGAAACAGGAGGGATAATAATGTAATATATAATATCAATGTTTAGTCTTTTTATGCAAAAAAAACACTGTGAGAGGATGACAATGCTATTCATGAATGCAAACTGACTTTTTGATTTTAGGTACTGAAAATGTCAGTTTTGTTATCTAAGATATCTAAGTCCCACTGTAAACATCCCTGGCAAGCAGGCTAAAGAGAAACTGTTCCTACCTCAATCTGTCCTGAGTGCAGGGGGCCTCCTGCATCTACAGTAGAATGAAACAGTGCATGTTGGTAAGTTTGTTCTTCATGACAGGTGAGGTGAAATGGATGGGGTTTAACGTCACGGTCAAGGCTATTGCAATTAAATAATGACGTGTCTGTCTGTCTGTGTCCTGTGACTCCGAGTAGACCAGCCAAGCTCCAGTCAGGGTAACAACAAGTGTCATTAAGGCACCCAACCTTTATTAGTGGTTTTTTTCTTTGTTTGTTTGTTGTCTAAAGACACACTTAGCAATATTCCAGCTATATGATGGCGGTCTGTAAATAATCAAATCTTGACCAGACAATCCAGTCATTGATATCATGAGCATCGATTTATACAATTGGGATACAATGACATTCATCAACAATGTCAGCAAGTCTGACCAGCTGGTCCCGTTAGTCGCCTCTTACGACAAGCATGGGTTGCTGAAGACCAGTTCTAACTGGTCCCCTCCTATTATTTTATGTCATATAATAAGGGGCTAAAACAAGGACTGGTCGACGTTGAGTCAACATACTGTGTCTGAGTGGGGTACTCATGTCAAACTGTGTATCAGTGGGCGTCCACGAAATAACTGGCAAATCTAGATTAGTACAAGCACGCATGAATTCACACATACACAAACCATTGTATACAAGTGCAACAATCACCTCATCAATATTTTATGATATTCTCATTTAAGTGAGTAGTGACAGCTTTTCAAAATACAGTATCTTGTTTGAAATGTGTATACGTACGATAACAGAAACTGTCCATGGCAAAGAATTGCCCTCTCACTTTTATTACAAACACATCTCTGCCACACACCGTCACCCGTTTTCTGTCAGATCCTACGAGATCCACTTCATTGCACACAAACACCTCCTCCTGTTAAAATGAAAATGGACTGGGTTTGAATGGGTCTTCAGCAACCTATGCTTGTTGTAATAGGCGACTATGCTTGTTGTAAGAGGCAACTAACGGGATCGGGTGGTCAGTTGCAAGTGATCTTGGTATCTGAATTATATTTTTTACGAAAAAGGTCAGGGACTGATGTTTGTTTGCACTTAACACACTAAATGTCCATGGATGAAACTTAGTGTTTCTGACTTCTTTCCGGTTTCCACAGCCTGTATCTATGAGAATTGCTCACCACTCTGTGAAATGCTTATTTCCGCTTATCAAAGGTGTTTAGGTGGCAAATGCCAACTTCTAGATAACCCTACATAATTCTATAGTAAAGTCATAGTTGAGACCGAGTCCAAGGTTTGAAAGAATGCTATGTTTTATCTTGACCTCGAGACATGTGAGGGGGTCCGGACTAGAGAATAGACTTAAGATATCGGTACATTCACGATAACAGATCTCGAGATATAGGGGTCCAACTGTACATCGCAAGACCACTTGACCCTTCAATATTGTCACCCTCTGATGGACAAACATTATGTACTTTTAGGGTCAGCACAGATTCCACAGAATCTGTATGTCCAAATATACCCTATCACGGCAATATATATAATATTCCATGTGTTCAGTACTACAATGTATCTGTTTTCACAATGCATCGTCCTAGGTCTTGGGCAAGCCAAACACCCAGCCTCAGACGTTTTTGATGCACAAATGTACAAAATAGAGCTGGGACGAGTCATTTACAAGCCATGTATCACTGTAGGTCTCAAGAGTTAGGAACAAAATGTCTGATTGGGAATTGTTTACCACAGTCCTGGCAAAAACTATTTAGATACATGTATGAAATGATCTTATCATGGTACACTGAAGTTGACTGAAGGTTTATCTTTACTCAAACCTATACAATTCCAAAGGAACGTGTGCATCGTCAGAAAGAAATGCGATCATTAGCGACTTGTAGTGTAACCACTGAGCTCCAGTGATTTAAAAATATATATATATCACGTGACCACAGGTCTGGATAGCACTGTTGGTACCCGGGTTCTACTCAGGACCCACCCCACCCGACCCGAGTACCCGAGTAACACCGTCCCAGGCCTAGTCACAGGTAGTCCAGTGGGTACCCGGGTCCTACTCAGGACCCACCCCACCCGACCCGAGTACCCGAGTAACACCGTCCCAGGCCTAGTACAAAATAATTACCTTCCTCTAATGCGTGTCACATTTTTGGATAACTCTTCAAATCCACTTGACCTTTTTTTAGAAAAAAATGTGCGCTTTTTCATGACCTTTCCAATACATGTGTATTACTTTTAATGACCCCCTCCATCGATTCCCACTAACCCACCCACCCCCTATTATAAATGACGGCTCACTTACATATGAATGAAGGCCAATTTTGTTAAATTATTTTGCTAAATACTTTGTGTATGACTACGTTTGATATGTTAACATATGTCCGTTTGGGTCTCACAAAAAAACACAATGGTTCCTTAATTTTGATAATAATAATGGATTGGCCAAATCGACTCAGCTGGGTTGGTCGGTTTTGGCGCTGGTCCGTTTTGAATGGCATTTCCTCAACAATGTCTCCAGGACATAGAGCTTATCATACTTTAACTGAAAGATAGAAGCCAAGTAAATGATGAATGTAATGACCGTATCAACTGTTGACAGACAAAACTCACCCCAACTTCTCCGGCCGACATGGTTTGTTTACTTAGAGTGACAGGTGCTTGTGAAGAGTTCGTAAAGGGAAGTAACTCTAATTCTATGAAGGTAGGGGGATTAAAGCCAGTCACGCTGAATGCCTGGGTTCGATTCTCCACATGTGTAAAGTCAATTTCTGATGTTTTTTGTAAACAAATTAACACATGTACTCTTTTTAAAATACACAAATCGCTTAGAGAGCCTGTAACTACAATAAGAACACTGAACAACGTTTGGTTTGAGATTTCATCTTTCACTTATCCATACCCACTTTGTCTTAATCAATACCACAGCTTCTAGAATGCCACTGTAGTTGGTTGGTTTGTGGTTTAACGAGACAACACCAGCTGCCATACTGGCATACTGAATATAGACACGAGCTGCAATAACAATGGTAGAAAATTGTCAAAATACACAGTTGAACATAACTTAGCTCTTTGATAAAACGGTACGTTAAGTTTTGTGCGATCGATAGATCTATATTTTGTTTTGTTTGTTTGTTGTTTAACGCTACACTCAGCAATATTCCAGCTATATGACGGCGGTCTGTAAATAATCGAGTCTGGACCAGACAATGCAGTGATTAATATCATGAGCATCGATCCACGCAACGGGGATCGATGACATGCATCAACCAAGTCAGCGAGCCTGACCACCCGATCCCGTTAGTCGCTTTTAACGACAAGCATAGTCGCCTTTTACGGCAAGCATGGGTTGCTGAAGACCTATTCTACCCCGGATCTTCACGGGTTGAATGCCACTGTAAGATCTTTCATGTAATATTTTCGATTTGAATGCCGTTTGTTTTATAACAGGCAGAACAATATGGATACATAACTGCTTACATTGAGACTGCTTTTTTCTGGAAACAGATTTCTGGTCTGAGGTTACATTTTAAAATGTTGACCTTCTATGAACTACCGAACAACCGAAATTCGCCTTATGCATCAGAAACACCCAAAACTATCATTATCACGAGACAAAAACAACGACCAAGCGTAAATTGTTCCTATGTTGTCATTTATTAAAATTCAGACCAAGATGCCATTGAGATTGATTGGCAGAATCGACATATTCCACATTTGAACTAGTTACATTTTGAACCTATCCTGTTGGCTCTATAAAAGAACGGTTCTGAGGATACGATTCTGAAACAAGAGGTGAGTCTCCGCTCGGGGCTGTGTAAGCTACAGGTCGTGATTACCTCCCTTCACATTTGAATACAAAAAACTTATACTAAAACCCATTTTTGTCACAGATACGAAAGGAAAAAGGACATGCCTTTTATTCCTAAAACCAGGCTCCAAAATGAGCCGGATCTTCAATTAAACTGAAGTTAATAATGGCCTGAATTCCCCTCCCCTTCCACAAAACGATCTTGAACCTGCGTCTGTCGTACGTACTCTAACGCAGGCGTTGTTGTAACATAAGACTGCTTTTTCAAAAGGGTCCCTAAGTTCTTAATATTTGTTTGTTTGTTTGTTGTTGTTGTTTGTTAACGCCGCACTCAGCAATATTCCAGCTATAAAACGTCGGTCTGTAAATAATTGAGTCTGGACCAGACAATCAAGTGATTTAGCATCGATCAACGCAACTGGGATGCGATGACATGCATCAACCAATCCCGTTAGTCGCCTTTTACGGCAAGCATGGGTTGCTGAAGACCTTCACGGTACACCATTTTTGTGAAACCCACAATCACGGCGATGGTGCCGACAAACAAAGAATCATATTCAGGACGATTCTGGGATGTGAACATACGATCAACAGATCCTGTCACTACTAAGAAAGGCAACACTGCACAGCAATTTCTACGCACATGTAGCTCTGCGCATAAACTGAGGCGCTCCCAAAGCGGCTTTGAGGTACCAGAAGCCCAGCTTGTATAATTTATATGATGATTAACGGTATTTTCAGACATTTAAAGGTGTTTGGTGTGTTCTTATAGAACAACAGTTGACACGTATACTTGTAAATGGTAAGACTGAATTAATGCAATCGAAATTACGTTAGCGTGTGGTATATCTCACAAAAGTGATAAACATAATCACCTCATCAAAAGTATCACCTCACAAATGTGAAGTGTAATTGAGAGTTAATTTTTAATGTAGAGATTTTTCAAATGGTGCACTGTGTGTTGACACTCTATCTGCCTGTAGGAAGGTAGCCAGCCACCTTAACTGCCCAACCTTGCGGATGCGTTGATGCGAGCCGGATGCACACCTAAGGGGTCTCTATAAAGAAATTCATGTTAGATGACAGAAAGTTCATGCGTCTTTACTGCTATTAGTTTTGAATGGAAGTTCTATCAATTTGAAAGTCTTTCTTTGGAACGGTCGTAACTGAAATAAGCGTACTATCCAATAATTCCAAGATGACAAATCACTGGCATGCACCAAACTGACATGTCATGTCGGGCTATTGCCATCGTGTTGACCATTAATCTGTAATCAATCGACTCATCAGAAAATGCACATTGACTGGACAGGTGAGGGACTTGTCCAGATCAGGACGTCCACGGAAGGCCAGTACTAGAACGGACAGGGTCCTTGTACGCCAGGCAACACGCTTCCCATTTCAACTTGCACTGTTCTTCGTCATCACTGGCATACCCACAACAGGGTGTCCCTCAGCACCACCAAGAGTCGACTGAATGCAGCAGGATTAAGAGCCAGAAGACCAATAAGACGTCCACTCCTCTCACATTAACATTAACGGGACCGTTTAGCCCGCTGTCAGACTCGAGCACACTGGAACTTGAGGTCACAGAGGAGGATTCATTGGTCTAACGAGAGTCGGTTTTTATTGCACCACACTGATGGTAGGACCCGTGTCTGGAGGCAAAGAGGATCACATTATCGTAAGCGCAACATCCAGGAAACAGTGGCATTTGACGGTGACAGCTCAGTGATGGTATGGGGGTGTTGCTCCATCGACTGTAAACACAATTCAGGTAACATTAAATAGACAAAGGTACCAAGATGCCATATTGCTGGCCTCATTTTGATAACCATGCACTTGCCACACGTCTGTCTTCTTGGACGACAATGCCCGACCCCAGCGAGCACGAGCTGTGACTAACCATCTCCAGAACAACGCCATTGAGACTCTGCCTTGGCCTTCTCTGAAGCCCTGATCTGAATCCAATCGATCACCTGTGGGATCAGTAGGGACGTTGAGTAACAGCCAGGGACCCTCCATTTCAGAATCTTCGAGAATCGACCCAGGCATTGCACCAGGAATGGCAACACTTCCTTCGGTAGAAGACCAGGCGTCTGATTTTGAGCTTGAGGAGACGTACTTCGGATGTCATCCGTCTACGGGGTGGCTACAGCAGATATATACTTACACTGTACATTATGTAACTGTGACATTGGTACAACGTTACTAAGACACGTACATGTTGATCTGTCCACCTCATTCCTGACAGTTATCCTGCCTCTATTGATCCCCAATTACAGTCCTTGTAGTAGCTGGCGAATAAAGTTACTTTTTTTCTTGGCAAATGCTCATTTTTCCTATTATTCATAAAATTAACCTATTTTTGACATTAAGTAACACAACTGATTGTTTATGTTTCGTTTTCAAGCTTATCCTTACCCATGTTTTCTGATTATAAAAATATCTTGGTGTGCGACACTTTTGACGAGGTCTAGTTTATTGAACTTATGTAGCGACGTGCATGCACGTGTGAGTGTCTAATACTGCTATATCCCACTGAGATACCATGTCACAGTTTTACATGAATAGCCCACTCAGACACAGTATATTAAATCCGAGTCGACCAGTCCTTGTTTTATCACACTCATTTCGGAACTAACACAATACATAATACTTGAACTGTGCCACATCCGGGTAAAAATCCACAACTGTGGCATGTATTCACAATGCCATTTAGAAAGTGGTCAAATGTAACAATTGTTATATTTGGGATAACGCTTTCTTAGTAAAGTACAGATTCTCGTACCTTTTTGGGTTGAGTCCCGACCGATCTAGACTACCAGTTGTCGGACTTTCATTTTTGTGGAAGCCTCGGTGGCTGAGTGGGTTAGATCGCTGACTACTGGCGATTAGGTGCCTCACTCTGGCAGGTGTGGGTTCGAATTCCGGACGGGACTCAATCCCCAAAAAGTACGACAATCTGTAGTTTACTTATAAAGTTTTATCCAAAATATAACAATTGTCACACAACTGTGGCAGTTCCAACGCGTGAAAACACTCAATAAGGAAAGTGTAGATATACATTATATTTAATATCAGAGCAACATGTATACATAAGATGAGTATAAATTCACCCTCGTGTATCAAAAGTATTAGATCTCCATTCTAAAACGATATATTTATCATTATAGAATGGACGTTTGATACACTTGGTTTAAGGGTCAATCAGTGCCTAGCACAAGTTGTTCGACGAGGACATCACCAGACCTTTAACACTGTACGTATATAAACATACTGATAACAACACTCATTCATCATCACACACATACACACACGTGACTATAGATGCGTATATATATATATACGTTTTTAAAGAATTGTTATGAAGTGTCATGGACCGCTTGTTTGTATAATGATATACCACGTGTTTGTTTCATGACGTTTATCGCAAACAATATACTGTCCCAGAAAAATCTTGAAAAAATGATTAATCTATTGAGAAAAAATTTGCCTACCACCAAAATTACACTGTTGCAAGGTGTTTTATTACAAAACAATTTCAGTCTCATAGGTTTAATAAAAAAATATATCAAATTTTGCAGCCATAGCTGGCAATATATCTAATCTCCAGACAAAATCTCAGCCTAAATGTACCATGTGTAATGTTATTGTATCATTTGTCGGTCATCATGTAACATAGTTTGTCAAATTGTTTCATGTACCATGTTTGTATCATCCTGTGTCATGTACCATGCTTGTATCATGTTTAATGTCCCTTTAAGTGAGCCTTTGTTTCACGTATCCAGTATCCAGGCACGACAACCATTGACTCCAGTGCAGACCACACCTCACACCATGGTGTTGACCACACCACAGACCATGCTGCAGACCACACCGCAGACCATGGTGTAGACCACACCGCAGACCATGCTGTAGACACCACCACACACTACACCGCAGAACATTGGCACCAGGCACCTTGACATAATTCTTTGAACCAGTCCACACCATAATAAAAACCCAGCTTTCGGGAAAAAAGGAAACGCGAAGTTATTTATGTGAACAACTTTGTGATGTTATTTGTCCTCTACCACAGCAATGATATCATGGAATGAGATGCCCATATTGAAGACTCGTACACTGGGGTGAGTGAGTGAGTGAGTGATCAGAACTCTGTGCTGGAAGTGACCCGTATACTCTCATAGGAGATGCTGCTCTGTTCGCTGTCTTCCCGGGACGTCTTGGCCGGTCGTGTCCTGCAAATATACGTCATGCTATCACCGTAGTCAGCAACAATACGTCATGCTATCACCGTATTCAGCAACAATACGTCATGGTATCACCGTATTCAGCAACAAAACGTCATGCTGTCGCCGTAGCCCACCCAAGACCGTTTCCCCGAAAAATCACAAACACTATTTGCAAACCATTTTTGAGTTTACTTTAACAAACAAACAAACAAACAAACACAGTTATCATGGTAGGCAATGCGCCATCTTCCCGAGGCAAGGGAGTTAACTTGCTGTAAAGTCCAGTTCCCACACTGACCAAACTAGGCCGGAATTATGGAGTTATATTTTGGCTGGACTAACGAGTCTATGCTTAGTCTGATCAAAATCGCGAAATGAAATCGACATACGGTTCGTAAAATGCTGTGCAGATTTCGGTCGATTGCCGGATTTGCAAAGCATGTGTACTGACAACGTAGTGTCAACAGATATTTTCCAAATCGTTTCATGTTTTTACTTAATGTGATCACGTGATTCGATGCACTTTGCGACGCAAGAGCCGTTCTATTACACTATAGATCTTGATTATCGGTCAGATCGATTTGACTGGGCGACGCCACTTTATTTGAAGCAAATGCAAGTAATAAGAGAGGTGGAATCTGATTGGTTAATGGGAGGGACATAAAAGGGACATAATTCGCAATAGCCACTGGTTGCGCTACGACCGAGCCCAGAAATTCCAGCCACAGGCGAGGGTTGAAACTGGACTTTGACAGCCAGTTAACTCCCTCGCGCATACAAAATGTCATCAGATGTAAAAAAGTGGGGTGACGACAAGACCCCCGGCAGACGATAACCAGAAACCAAGACCCGTCATCGGCGTCGCGACTTACATAATATCGTGTACATCTTTCTTGATTTGTCTGCGTTTGGCTTCGTCAATCGGGTAGCTCCACAGAAACATGAGAGCTACTATTACGCAGAGCACAGGACCAGGAACTATGAGCATGCGCAGTGTCAAGTCCACCGATTCCGGTTGGTCACAGGCTCCGGTTTTGTAACCACCGAATCTGAAGCAAAGATGGGTAATTATACACCAGGTGGCGCCGAGCAGACGAACATCTCTGGGTTATAATACATGAAATTCGTGTTCATTTAACATCGTACACATTAGAGAGTGAGTTGGGTTTAACGCCGCTTTGAACAATATTCCACGTATATAGTTTGTCAGCTTAATGTAGGAGGAAAGCCTGAAGTGATGCAGGTCGCAGACTTTACCACGTTTTTAAAGCCACAAGCACGAATTGGGCGCCTTAGACGACAGGACCACCAGTGCCCCTTTATACACATTAAGACAGAATTAAGGGCGACACTCAGTGAATAACGGTCTGTAAACAATATTATCAAAAATCTAAGTTCTTGCTACCGCAATGATTGTAATGAGACTATAATATTAAAACCTCGCCCACTCGTCCAGTCTACACCGTGCTAAAAAGTTCTTGAGAAGAGTGGGCATTTCTTTGTCTTGATAAGTTTGCACAGTCTCTGTTTAAGTAATGCTTAGTCACTGAAAATATATTATTTTGATAGAAACAAGGGAGCCTCAGTGAAATGGGAGATGCATAACCTGTAAAAAATGTCGAGGCTTACTTCAGTTACTGCTATAGCGTTTCAGAAAGGGTTGTCCGGAAAGAAAAATAATATGGTTCAGGGACTAGGGCGAGTACTGAGAATAGTGATTCCCCCCGTGATTTATGCATTTAATGTACGTGACCTGTATTCAGGTTATCCATCATCCAACCTACTGGGGCTGTCAATTAGCCGGAGCCAAGGCCCCTTTAAGGCTAAAGCACCATCAAACCTACTTCGGCTGTCAATCAGCCGGAGCCTAGGCCCCTTTAAGGTTAAAGCACCATCAAACCTACTGGGGCTGTCAATTAGCCGGAGCCAAGGCCCCTTTAAGGTTAAAGCACCATCAAACCTACTGGGGCTGTCAATTAGCCGGAGCCAAGGCCCCTTTAAGGTTAAAGCACTCACTGCAGGGCAAGTTGGGATATTGCCAGCCCCATCCCGCCGGAGAACTTGTTGAAGAACACGTAGAAGGAGTAGAAGAGAGCATCCTTCCTCGTCTTCCTCTCCAGCATGAACATGTCCAGGATGTCCGGCAGCACTGACCTGCATCAGAAGGACACGCGAGCGTTCATACAGTGCCAGACTCCCCGCAACGGGGTTTAACAACGGTAGTGCACGATGCCCGTTCAAAACTTGCTATCACATTCGAATGGTAAATTATGTCTGGCGAAAACTCTTAATTGTATCAGGAAGGGATTGTCCAGTTTAGATGGTAGCAACAATGACACATGGCAACTCACCAAGGTAGCAACAATGATACATGGCAACTCACCAAGGTAGCAAAAATGAAACACAGAGCAACCCACCAAGGAAGCAACAATGACACACAGGGCAACTCGCCATGGTAGCAACAATGACACATAGGGCAACTCATCAAGGTAGCAACAATGACACAGAGGGAAGTCACCAAGGTAGCAACAATGACACACAGGGCAACTCACCAAGGTAGCAACAATGACACACAGGGCAACTCACCATGGTAGCAACAATGACACACAGGGCAACCAACCAAGGTAGCAACAATGACACAGGGCAACTCACCATGGTAGCAACAATGGCACAGAGGGCACCTCACAAAGGTAGCAACAATGACACAGAGGGCAACTCACCAAGGTAGCAACAATGACACACAGGGCAACTCACCGTGGTAGCAACAATGACACACAGGGCAACTCACCGTGGTAGCAACAATGACACACAGGGCAACTCACCATGGTAGCAACAATGGCACAGAGGGCAACTCACAAAGGTAGCAACAATGACACAGAGGGCAACTCACCAAGGTAGCAACAATGACACGGAGGGCAACTCACCATGGTAGCAACAATGATACACAGGGCAACTCGCAAAGGTAGCAACAATGACACAGGGCAACTCACCAAGGTAGCAACAATGATACACAGGGCAACTCGCAAAGGTAGCAACAATGACACAGGGCAACTCACCAAGGTAGCAACAATGACACAGGGCAACTCACTAAGGTAGCAACAGTGACACAGAGGGCAACTCACCAAGGTAGCAACAATGACACAGAGGGCAACTCACCAAGGTAGCAACAATGACACACAGGGCAACTTACCAAGGTAGCAACAATGACACAGAGGGCAACTCACCGTGGTAGCAACAATGACACAGAGGGCAACTCACCGTGGTAGCAACAATGACACACAGGGCAACTCACCATGGTAGCAACAATGACACACAGGACAACCCACCATGGTAGCAACAATGACACACAGGACAACCCACCAAGGTAGCAACAATGACACACAGGGCAACTCACCAAGGTAGCAACAATGACACACAGGACAACCCACCAAGGTAGCAACAATGGCACACAGGACAACTCACCAAGGTAGCAACAATGACACACGGCTACTCACCAAGGTAGCAACAATGACACACGGCTACTCACCAAGGTAGCAACAATGACGCAGGGCAACTCACCAAGGTAGCAACAATGATAAACAGGGCAACTCACCAAGGGAGCATCAATGATACACAGGGCAACTCACCAAGGGAGCATCAATGATACACAGGGCAACCGACCAAGGTAGCAACAATGACACACAGGGCAACTCACCAAGGTAGCAACAATGATAAACAGGGCAACTCACCAAGGTAGCAACAATGACACACGGCTACTCACCAAGGTAGCAACAATGACACAGGGCAACTCATCAAGGTAGCAACAATGATAAACAGGGCAACTCACCAAGGGAGCATCAGGATACACAGGGCAACCCACCAAGGTAGCAACAATGACACATGGCAACTCACCAAGGTAGCAACAATGACATAGGGCAACTCACCAAGGTAGCAACAATGACACACGGCAACTCACCAAAGTAGCAACAATGATACACAGGGCAACCCACCAAGGTAGCAACAATGATACACAGGGCAACTCACCAAGGTAGCAACAATGACACATGGCAACTCACCAAGGTAGCAACAATGATACACAGGACAACCCACCAAGGTAGCAACAATGACACATGGCAACTCACCAAGGTAGCAACAATGACACATGGCAACTCACCAAGGTAGCAACAATGACATAGGGCAACTCATCAAGGTAGCAACAATGACACAGGGCAACTCGCCAAGGTAGCAGCAATGACACACAGGGCAACTCACCAAGGTAGCAACAATGACACAGGGCAACTCACCAAGGTAGCAACAATGACACACAGGGCAACTCACCAAGGTAGCAACAATGACACACAGGGCAACTCACCAAGGTAGCAACAATGACACAGAGGGCAACTCACCAAGGTAGCAACAATGACACAGGGCAACTCACCAAGGTAGCAACAATGACACATGGCAACTCACCAAGGTAGCAACAATGACACATGGCAACTCACCAAGGTAGCAACAATGACACAGGGCAACTCACCGTGGTAGCAACAATAACACAGGGCAACTCACCAAGGTAGCAACAATGATACACAGGGCAACTCACCAAGGTAGCAACAATGACACATGGCAACCCACCAAGGTAGCGACAATGACACATGGCAACCCACCAAGGTAGCAACAATGACATAGGGCAACCCACCAAGGTAGCAACAATGACACATGGCAACCCACCAAGGTAGCAACAATGACACATGGCAACTTACCAAGGTAGCAACAATGACATAGGGCAACTCACCGTGGTAGCAACAATGACACAGGGCAACTCACCAAGGTAGCAACAATGACACATGGCAACCCACCAAGGTAGCAACAATGACACATGGCAACTCACCAAGGTAGCAACAATGACACAGGGCAACTCACCAAGGTAGCAACAATGACACAGGGCAACTCACCAAGGTAGCAACAATGACACAGGGCAACTCACCAAGGTAGCAACAATGACACAGGGCAACTCACCAAGGTAGCAACAATGACACATGGCAACTCACCAAGGTAGCAACAATGACACATGGCAACTCACCAAGGTAGCAACAATGACACAGAGGGCAACTCACCAAGGTAGCAACAATGACACAGGGCAACTCACCAAGGTACCAACAATGACACACATGGCAACTCACCAAGGTAGCAACAATGACACATGGCAACTCACCAAGGTAGCAACAATGACACAGGGCAACTCACCAAGGTAGCAACAATTACACAGGGCAACTCACCAAGGTAGCAACAATGACACTGACACACTGAGGCCTGCGAATGCTACAGTTATGTAGTAGAGATACGGATTGTCTTTTGGTAGATACAGTTGAACGATCAGCACTGGGATGAATATCTGAAACAGAGTCATTGCTTCTACAATCACAATGGGTTTCATCAAGGTAAGTGTGCACGATCAACACTGACATGACAGAATAGCTGATACGGGGACTAGAAAACAAAGTAGACGTAGTGTGCGCCAGACTTACGATCATGCCGGCAGCGTACGCTGTCTTCTTGCCGTAGCGAGACAACACCAGCTGCCATACTGGCATACTGAATATAGACACGAGCTGCAATAACAATGGTAGAACATTGTCAAAATACACAGTTGAACATAACTTAGCTCTTTGATAAAACGGTACGTTAAGTTTTATGTGATCGATAGATCTATATTTTGTTTTGTTTGTTTGTTGTTTAACGCTACACTCAGCAATATTCCAGCTATATGATGGCGGTCTTTAAATAATCGAGTCTGGACCAGACAATCCTATGAATGATGTCACGAGAATCGATCTACGCTTATGGGATACGATGACATGCATCAACCAAGTCAGCGAGTCTGACCACCCGATCCCGTCAGTCGCCTCTTACGAAAAGCATAGTCAGTCACCTCTGACGGGAAGCATTGTAGGTGAGGTGAGGTGAAATGTGGTTGTACGTCGCGTGCAAGATTATTGCACTTATATAGCGACGTGCATGCACGTGTGTGTGTGTGTTTGTGTGTCTGCTTGTACTAGTCCGGACTGATGCCGATTTATAGTGCTAGCTCACTGAGATACAATGCCACAGTTTAACATGAATACCCCACTCAAACACAGTATACTGACTCCGAGCCGACCAGTCCTTGTTTCAGCCCCTTAATGCCGAGAGCCAGACAGGGTAACAACAAGTACCATATTTTAACGTCTTTTGGTATGACGCGGCCGGGGATCGAACTCCGGACCTTCCGCTCTCCGGGCGGACGCTCTACCACTGGACCACGGAGGTGGTCCCATATTTCGTAACCATGATATAATGATATATGTATGTAAAATGAAAATTTAAATGAGTGAGTGATTATGTTTTTACGCCGCTTTTAGCAATATTCCAGCAATATCACGGCGGGGGACACCAGAAATAGGCTTCACACATTGTACCCATGTCGGGAATCGAACCCGGGTCTTAGGCGTGACGAGCGAACGCTTTAACCACTGGGCTACCCGACCGCCCCGAAAATTTAAATGAAGTTGTACGGAGAACATGCGCTTGTGTCAACGAATACCTACCAGCAAGACCAGGATGAAGTTTGTGAACTGAGGCCCCATGTTGAGGGAGTGCGTGCAGTACAAGGCCAGGTTCCCCTGCACTATCTAAGAGACACAGCATCATGGATGTATATGACTCATGTTACAGTGTTTTCGATCATTCTTATTGTACTTTATTCATGACTTTGTAATATTTAACGTTATTCCACACGCGATGTAGATTTATGTAATAATGACAAATCTGATTAATAGTAATTTCACTTGTTATGTGATAGTATCAGGAGTTTAGTAATCGAATATTTTTCCAGCATACTCTTTGCCCTTATTTGGCGAGGTCAGTGAGGAATGACAGACTTGGGACTCACTGATATTGTTATAGAAAGAAATAGGAAGGTCATCGCGGCCTTGACATAGGGACCATAACCGAAGACCAGTTTCAGACCCTGGCAGAAGCCGACTTGGTCGTCCCCGTCAGCCACCCCTACAACATAATACACATGTCAACTCGACGTTTGTTTGTTTTGTTTGTTGTTTAACGCCGCACCCAGCAATATTCCAGCTATATGATGGCGGTCTGTCAATAATCGAGTCAGGACCAGACAATCCAGAGATTGACATCATGAGCACCGATCCACGCTATTGGGATACCAAGTTAGCAAGCCTGACCACCTAATCCCGTGAGTCGCTTCTTACAACAAGCATGGAAGCCTGTTGGGGCTCAGTCACACACTCAGGATTTTTACTGCCGTCCTTGATAGGACCATTCCCGATTAAGATTTGTCAAAAGTCTGTTCAAGATCCTGTGATTCGTGGCGTAGGGCTGTCTGATCTCAAACGGGAGCCATAATCGGCATTGTGTGGACGCCGCATTACGGCAAGCATGGGTTGCTGAAGACCTATTCTACCCCAGATCTTCACGGGTAACAACACTACACATACGTCAACACGCCATATATGTCAACACGACATACGTCAATAAGACACATACGTCAGGGCACATACGTCAACACGACGTATACATCATAGAGGATATTTCATATATCGAGTGAAATATCATGTCTACGCCACTCGTGAAAATATCTCCTTTCCCCCTGTCACGAGATGACAGAAACATGATATTTCACTCGACACATGGAATATCCTATTTATTATATACTTTTTGTGTAGTTGTCTACCGGATATTAAATTATTTCATTACAAATGTATAAACCTTGAAACGTAAATTCCCACTACCTAACGCACAGGGACGGTTCACCACCCCTTGTATTTGCGACTTAAAAAGTAGTTTCGTGTATGCAAAATCTTTAAAAATAAAAACAAAAGTATCAAAAAATATTTAGGGTCACGAAAGTTCTTTATCTTACATTTAAATATGCTTATATACAAGTCGACTTAACCAGAAATATTCTTCGAAACTAGGAGCCCGCTGTTGGAAGCGAAAGAATACACGCTGTTTCCCATATCTGTCCGGTACTTACCTTTTTTCTTCTCCCTGACGCCGAAGAAGACGATACAGGCGCATACGAAGTAAATGCTGACCACAAAGCCGGCCCCAACCATGTAAGACCATTTCTACAAACAGGTGATCTTATGAGTGAGTGCGTTGTGTTTTACACCGCATTTATCTTCATGTGAATATATCACGGCGGGGACCACACTGCATACGTTTCGCACATTGTACAAAATTTGGCGAATCGAATCAGGATATTCGGGGTGACACGCCAACGCACTACCCACTAGGCTAGAAGAACAACTTTTGTACATGTACTAGGTCAGTCCATTGTATAGGGATTATTTAATGAAACCAACTTTATCACTTAAAACTGTTCCCGTTCAACAAAGGATCTTAGCACTGAGAGCATTGAGCCAAGGCTGATGCGGGAGATCTTTCACTGTGATTCCACTATAGTATTCCAGTGATATGGCGGCTGGTCAGAATTATGTGGGAGGAAAGCCTCATTGAAGCAGGTCCTAGACGTTTACCACTTTTTTGAAGCCTTGAGCACGGAAGTGAGTGAGTGAGTGAGTTGGGTTTAACGCCGCTTTTAACAGTATTTCAGTTATATCACGGCGTGTCAGCTAATGTGGGAGGAAATCCCGAAGTGATACAAGTCTCAGATGTGTATGACTGGTCCACAACGCTGACCCCCAAACACCTAATGTAATTGTATATGGCAAATGTGGCCGATATACGTTATACATAAATGCACTGTGTCGTTGTATAAAATACTTCCTTAAACTTACCGATATGCATAAGGATAGAATTCCAAAGAAAGCCCATGATATGTTTATGTACTATGATAATTGTGGATACCAAACCCATGCATCTACTGTACGCACTTTATTGTTTTCACATGGATTTGGATTTGGACGGATTGCTCAGTGCGTTGGAGATATATCTACTTTTCTTAGACTGTATAGAAAGGATGCAACTGTATCATCAATCATGGAAAAGTACTATAGAAAACAGTTCAAGATATAACAGATATATTAAATATAGAGAGTTTAAAAACCTCATCGAACCTTAGAAGTACTTCACCCAGATAGAAAACAACGCAACATATTGATAGGAATGAGAGCGGGATTGTTAGGGTTGAAAGTTAACGAAAGGAGATGGTCGGGGATTGATTTAAGTTTACGTTTATGTCCTCTTCGTGATCTAGGGATAGAATATGAATATAATTTTATCTAAATATGTAACTCCTAAAAGAACATAAGACACCTCTCTCTGCCTGAAATGCTTTCAATTTGTCATAATCCGATTATCTATAAATTTAGAACGCTTCTGTATTCGAACGATGTTAGGTTATTAAGAAACTTATGTAAATATTTATGTCAAAGTTATGAAGTGAGACCAAGTTTCGCAAACACTTACTTATATATTGATGTACCATTGAGGGGGCACGGGTGGCCCAGTCGTCTAGGGCGACGATATTCGCTGTACAGAATTGCGTCCCTTTGGTACGCCAGAAACCCATGATTGTGGGTCCGAAATACCAGTTCACCCCGATTATGTTTCTAAGTTTGTCAGCACCATACCTGTGCTCGTGGGTTTCACCGAAGTGATAAACGTCTGAGACCTGCATCACTTCGGGCTTTCCTCCCGAATTAAGCTGACACGCCGCGATATAACTGGAATATTGTTAAAAGCGGCGTTAAACCCAACTCACTCACTCATGTACTCATGTATGTATGCACTTTACCTGTGAATGGGTCAGTGGCCTTCATACGAATAAAAGACTTGACTTGACCCCTTTGGTGAAACCACGGTATAGTGCTGACAAACCTAGAAACATAATCAACTCGAACCGGGATTCTACAACTGGGCCACAAAGTCTTCTCACCAAGCCACGTGTGGACAGTAAACACATTTCAAGATAAGAAAGAGATGTGTTTCAACTTGAAGACACAACACCAACATCTCTTTTTCTCCTTGTGGTTCAATCGCAAGACAGATAGGGTCGAGACCGTGCACTCCTGTCCCACTGGGATACATAGCGGACACCGACGTCCCAGAAACCAAGATGGGCGATATCTCTCACCCTGCCCGTGTTCTCCAAATAATGCCCCTTCATCAAGCGCGACCGGTAAAAGGAAAGCGGATAGTGTTAAAAGAGAAGGGCGAGTTATAAACTCAGATTTTAACTCACTATCATAGATTATTCAGTTTATATTAGATAGTAAATGGTATATTTTCTGTCAACTGTTCAGTGAATGAGTGAGTGAGTTGGGTTTAACGCCGCTTTTAACAGTATTCCAGTCATATCACGGCGTGTCAGCTTAATGTGGGAGGAAAGCCCGAAGTGATGCAGGTCACAGACGATTACCACTTCGGTGAAACCCACGAGCACGGGTATGGTGCTGACAAACCTAGAAACATAATCGGGGCGAACCGGGATTCGAACCCACAATCATAGGTTTCTGGCGTGCCCAAGGGACGCAACTCTGCACAGCGAATCGCGGCGCCTTAGACGACTGGGCCACCCGTGCCCCCGTCAACTGTTCAGGTTCCAAGTACCTTTGAATTACTAAAAACCAACAATCAGCGGGTTCGTTACTTTATGTCCAACAAATATAAAAAATATATCATAGCTTTTAGCCTATCTTCCAACAACTGTTCAAGAACTGAAAACTAACAGGCAGCGTTGGACTTAAACTGACTAACGAACGCGCTAACTTGAGGCTGCTTTGTCCCACCTGGTTGTCGAGTTGACGTGGAGATGTGGTGGAGTCAGGGTCTTCACAGGTGCCCACTGTACGGTATTCCTCTATGAGCTTGCCTTGTACGATGGCGCCGCTGAGAACTCCTACCGCCTCAAACACCATTCCTGATACAGAAGGCAGAACTGAGATATGTATCTGAAAAGCGACTACCATTGATATTTGACCGACTGCTTATATTAGGTTTGTCAAAATGGGGCGCAATCTTGAAAAAAGTCTTGCACAGATAAGGGTATAATTGAGTTCAGACAAAGATATCTCTGATTTCAGAGAAGGATACAACAGATCTCAGCCAAGGGTAAAATTGAGTTCTGACAAGGGTATAACTGAGTTCAGACAGGAGTAAAATTGACTTCAGAAAAGGGTAAAATTGAGTTCAGACAAGGATATAACTGAGTTCAGACAAGGAAATGATTGACTTCAGGCAAGGAAAAAATTGAGTTCAGACAAGCATATAACTGTGTTCAGACAAGGCAAATAATTGACTTCAGGCGATGGTAGAATTGAGTTCTGACAAGGATATAACAGATCTCAGACAAGGGTATAACTTCAGATAAGGTATAACTGAGGTCAGAGAAGCATGTAACTGAGGTCAGACAAGGATATAACTGACTTAAGACATGGGTAAAATTGAGTTCAGACAATGATATAACTGAATTCAGACAAGGGTATAACTGAGGCCAGACTAGGGTATAACTGAGATCAGACAAGTCCAAGAGTATAACTGACAAAGGTATAACTGATCTGACACAAAGGTGAGGTTGGCGATGTTGGACTCACGGTAGGCCGTGGCGGAGTCTCTCTCCTTCTGGTTGTTGCTGATGTACATCGTGAGGGCGGTGTATGGCACGTGCAGACCCTACAATGACGCATGCGCGGTCAGAGAACACAATCTTCTTAACTAAAGAGTCAAGAGTAAATACATTTTGTGATAGTGTCAAGGAGAGTTGCGTCCCTCGGACTTGCTAGAAAAATGTAGGTTCGAACCCCGATTATGCATCTTGGTTTGTCAAAGTGATAAACTTCAGGCTTTGCACCCCGACCCACTCTGACACGTCGTGATATAACAGAATTAAGCGGCGTAAAACCACACTCACTCTTTCATTCACAACGTTATTGGTATGATGCAATGTTGTTTGGCATGGTTTGAACATGCTCCAGGAGTGTATAAAGCATGTCCGCTTAAGTGTACTTCATCTCCTTGTGAATATTATCACTGAGTCAGGATTAGAACAAGTGGGGGATGACAGGTAAGAATATGGGTCTTCAGCAACCGATGCTTGTCGTAAAAGGCGACTATGCTTGTCGTAAGAGGCGACTAACGGGATAGGGGATCAGGCTCGTTGACTGGGTTGACGCTTGTCATCGTATCCCAATTGCGTAGATCGATGTTCAATGACCAATTGCAGCTTCAGACTCGATTATTTACAGAACGCCGTCATATAGCTGGAATATCGACGATTGTTGGATTACATGTTTCGTTTATCCGGACATCTTTTAATCCGGATAATTCCAATGGGAACTGTACAGGCCGGATTAATGGGGTTTCACTGTACATTTCCACACGCCGATGTACACACATACATACCGAGAGCAGACCCTCAAAGGCACAGAACATGACGAAGTAGTAGGCCAGCTTCCCCTCGTCAGACAGGTCTGGGACGTACCACAGGAAGAAGTACGTGACACAGGCGAAGGGGGCAGACAGGATTATCCTGAAGAGGAACCACAGTGGAAATGTCATGTAACAGGTCATGCTGATGAAGCAGGCCAGTATATAAAGTGATGAAATTAATGTTTCCGATTTCGTTTTATAAGGTTATCGAGTAGTTGCCTAACACTAGTACTCTTTTGTTATTGAACACCTTATCAAATAAGGGGGCACGTCGCCATACCGGCTAAGACGCTATAATTCGCTGTGCAGAGTTGCGTCCCTTAGGTGTACCAGGATCCTAAATCTTGGGTTCGAGTCCTAGAATCACCCTGATTGTGATTATTATTATTTTTATTACCCATATTTACTTATAGAAATAGAATTAAGTCTGTTTCTAGGGGGAATGCTCAAGTATTTAAACGCGGAGGCCTAAAATTAAATACACTAACGGCGTGGATGGAACCCCACCATGGTCGCATCTTGCCGAATCTGGTCTCCGTTCTGTTGACGAGATAGCCACACATCGGATCAGTGATGGCATCCCAGGCCTTGCCTCCGAACAAGATGATGGAGATGTACTCGGGCGAGATCTGTGGACAGTAAGGCCTTGTGAATGACTAAAACTCTTGTTGACTCAGTAGTGTTAGAGGATCCCTCAAGACTATTTCAACCGTTGAAAATAACCTTGTGACTTTGCTGGTTCTGAAACTGTACACTTTGCGTCGCAGACAATTTGTTTATCTTGTGATTTTATGACAAATAGTCCATTTATAATGCGCCCATCCTCCCGAGGCAAGAGAGTTAACTGACTTTAAAAGTCCAGTTTCCACCCTTGCCAAACTAGGCTGGAATTACTGGGCACGATCGTAGCGCCACCAGTGGCTATTACCAGTCATGTCCCTTTTAAGCCTCTCCTATGGACCAATAAGATTCCACCTCTCTCATCACTTGCGTTTGCTTCACACAAAATGGTGGCGCCGAGTCAGGACGATCTGATCGATAATCAAGATCTATATTGTGATAAAACGGGTCTTACATCGCGAAAAGCATCAAATCACGTGAGCACCTTGATTTAAAACATGAAAAGATTTGGAAAATATCTGCTGACAACGAGTTGGCGGTGCACATGCTTTGCAAATCCTGCAATCGACCGAAATCTGCACGACAGTTTACGAACCGGATTTCGATTTCGGTCACGATTTTGATTGGACTATGCATAGACTCGTTAGTCCAGCCAAAATGTAACTCCATAATACCAGCCTAGTTCGGCAAGGGTGGAAACTGGACTTTTATAGTCAGTTAACTCTCTTGCCTGGGGAAGATGTAATGCGCCGGACTCTAGTCACGAACGCGTTAATAGATGGTGGTTGTTGTTATTTGCCTGGCTTTGGCATTATTATAAAGGTGGGGTGAGGTGAGGTGAAATAGGTTTTAACGTCGCGTTCAAGATTATTGCGCTTACATAGTGTGTGGCTGCTTGTACTAGTCCGGACTAATGCCAGTTTTATAGTGCTAGCCCACTGAGATACCACGTCCAAGTTCAACATGAATACCCCACTCAGACATGGTATTCTGACTCCGATCCGACCTGTCCTTGTTTTAGCCCCTTAATGCTGATCGCCATGCAGGGTAACAACAAGTACCATCTTTTAACGCCATTTGGTATGACGCGGCCGGGGATCGAACCCCCGACCTTCCTTTTTCCGGGCAGCCGCTCTACCACTAGACCACGTATTGGCGGTCTCGCAATTAAGGGGCTGAAACAAGGATTGGTCGGATCGGAGTCAGTATACTGTGTCTGAGTGCATGGGGTATTCATGTTAAACTGCAGAATGGTAACTCAGAGGGCTAGCACCATAAAATCCGCATTTGTCTGGACTAGAAAAAGCAGCCACACACACACACACACGCACGCACGCACGCACGCACGCGATATAAATACAATAAGTTTGAACCCTCATTTCCCCAGTTGTGTTTGTTTGTTTTGGTAATTGAGGCCGCGCGATCAGCAATATTACAGCTGTATGACGGCGGTCTGTAAATAATCGAGTCGAATCGAGGCCCGATCAATCCAGTGATTGATATCATGAGCATCGATCCACGCAATTGTGATACAATGACATGCTTCAAACAAGTCAGCGTGTCTGACCACCCGATCCCGTTAGTCGCCTCTTACGACAAGCATAGTCGCCTCTTACCACAAGCATGGGTTGATGAAGACCTATTCTATCAGGGATCTTCATGGGGCCAAGTACCAGCCCATGGCGCTGCGTCCGTGAACTTACTTCTCCTCACCCTGGGGAGTATACGACTACAGATTTCATGAATGGAAACATAACCTGGACTGACCTGCGCGACTTCCAGGAGGAAGATGTTGAGGTAGAAGCCGATGATGGTGGAACAGATCTGGTAGGGGGCGCCACCGACAGCGAAGCAGATCTTGCTTATTACCGACAATGACTTCTCTTCCTCATCTTCCCGGATCTTCAAGTACTGCAAAATAATAGAGTGAGTGAGTGAGTGAGTGAGTGAGTGGTTAGGTGAATGAGTGCGTGAACGAGTGAATGAGTGAGTGCATGAGTGGGCAGGCGGGCGTGTTGACGGGTGAGTGAGTGAGTGAGCGGGAGGGAGGGTGGGTAAATGAGTGAGTAGGTGAGTGAGTGAGCAGGCGGGTGGGGTGACTTTTGTTTTGCGCCGCATCCCACTATTCCAGCCATATCACAGCTGCCTGAGACATGTACCTTGTCTCTAAAATTGCATGGGCCATCCAAACCTGTTACTGATAGCATGAGCAACGTTCCAATTGATAGAGTAGATGTCACACAAGCAGCCATGTCGACTCAATCACACGGAGCATGGGGTACTGGGGAACCATTTTGCACATTCGGAATACCCCTGGGGATATCAAACAATAAAACATGAGGACACAAACCTGTGAGTTCTGACGCTACAGTTCCCGGTGAAAGTGTCCAGATTGTATAGTTATGGGTACATGACGTATTTATATGGTTTAAATATACTCAACAACAAAAGTTCCTGTGACACCAATATTTTAGTGTATTTTTCAAACAAGTAAAGTTTGGTTTTCAATATTGTAGTACATGTATGGAATCAAGTCACAAAAACGCAACTGCTACAAAAAAGCATGCATTCCATGCAAAAGTTGACTTATATGCAAGCCCCATGCATTTCACTACCCAAGAATGGGTATAAAAACATGTGCGTTAACGGGATTCCTTATGCATTGTTTAGCATCGTGCTGACAACAACCACTCAATTATTCAACATTATTCAACATTACGAAATGCCACGCCAGTCCGAAAATGAGCGTCTGCGAGCCATTAGTATGCTTGAAGCAGGATCGAGTCAACGTGATGTTGCAAGACAATTTACCGCCCACAGAAACACCATTTGGTATTTATGGCAACGTTGGCAACAGACGAATGCAGTCAGAGTTTATTATCGGAGTGGCAGGCCACGCGTAACCAATAATCGACAAGACAACTGGATTCGAACAACACACCTACGAAATTGATTCCAACCAGCAACAGTGACTGCAAGAAGCATCTCGGGCCTTCGACGAATATCTTCACAAACCGTACGTCGTCGCCTCAGATTTGTAGGGATTGTCGCCAGAAGACCCGCCAGATGTCCCATTTTGACAGGAAACCACCGTCAAGCACGTCTACAGTGGTGCAGACAGCGTCTACGCTGGACGGCCATGCAGTGGGGACAAGTTCTATTCACTGACGAGTCTCGTTTTCACCTCAGCCACAGCGATGGACGGATTCGAGTGTACCGACTGTCGAGGCGAACATTACGTCAATCATTGTGTTATGGAAGAAGATCGGTGCGGTAGCGTTATGGTATGGGGTTGGATTACAGCAAGACAGAGGACCCGTTTGATAGTGGTAGAGGGAAATCTCAATCGAGCACATTTGGGATGAGATGGATCGGCGTCAACCACGTGTTCCACAGACACTCCAGGAACTTCGAAACATAATCCAGCAGATATGGACAGATATCCCACAGGACTTTATGCGACGCCTGGTCCATTCCATGAGACGAAGATGTGTTGCATGCATCGCAACCAGAGGTGGACACACACGCTATTGATTTGTAAATTGACATTTTGGCATGTTCATGTTTTTTTTATATGAAATCACGCATTTTCTGAGGTCAGTATGGCAAAATAAACCATTTGAACACTTCCAGGAGTCTTTATCTTTTGCAAACCGAAATTGTTTAAGATTTGGTAAGCCTAGTGGTTAAAGCGTTCGCTCGTCACGCCGAAAACCCGGGTTCGATTCCTGACATGGGTACAATGTGTGAACCCCTTTTATGGTGTCCCCCGCCGTGATATTGCTGGAATATTGCTAAAAGCGGCTTAAAACCATACTCACTCACTCTTCAATGTCACAGGAACTTTTGTTGTTCAGTATATAAGTATTAAAACCTCCTTGGCCCAGTGGAAAAAAGCGTCTACCCGGGGATCGGAAGCTCTGTGGTTCGATCCTCTGGCCCGTCATACCGAAAGACGTTATCAGATGGTATGTGTTGTAACCTTGCCTGGTCCTCGAAATTTAGAGAATAATACAAGGACTGTTTGTTTGGGATTCAGTAAACTGTGTCTGAGGAAACCAATTCAACTGCGGCATGGAATCACAGTGAGCTAGCCATTGCACATCCCTCACCATAAACAGGTTTACATGTTAGTCGAGGAAGACCCTGTGTCTAAAAGTTGAAAAGCCAAGTTCGACATTTTCAAGGATTAGGTACCCGGGACCGAGTTGTCGAACCTTTTTAACCATGGCAATGAACCCAAGCTCCTAAATGCTTGAACAACATGGTTTTGAGGACGTGTTTTTAACATAGTGTGAGTCGGCCGTGTGTAATGCACGTGGTATATGTTCACTGAACCTTCTGCACGTGCATCTCGCGCTTTTGCGAATATGAAATGCATGTAACGGGCAAGTTTGAGGGTGCCTAGACTGGTTCCCGTTCGTTCCTGCGACAGACTTTGAAGGCAGGGCAAGAGCATCGACACCAAGCGCAGGATCCGGGAACCAGTCTATAGTTTGTCAACTCCTAACCTCTGGACATCCGGCATACCACTAAATTTGTCTTGGCAACCGATTTAAGAACTCGTCAGTCACAACGGTGTACACAGCTGATACAGCTGCAAAGTAAATTTGACTTGAATTTTCATACAATAGAATGCGTGACCATGAGGATTAAATAATTTATTAATCTGTCACGATTTGCAAGATAAAATGACTAAAAAAATTTTCAACATTGAAATATTGGCATTCGCGTTCGAAATGAACATTTCATGGTATCCGCTATCAAGCGTACTGCACTGGGGCATCCGGAATTCCGCTTTACGGGGCTCGGCATCAGGAACACCACTTAACAGGGCTCGGCATCCGGAATACCACTCAACAGGGCTCGGCATCCGGAATACCACTTAACAGGGCTCGGCATCCGGAATACCACTTAACAGGGCTCGGCACCCGGAATACAACTTAACAGGGCTCGGCATCCGGAATGCCACTTAACAGGGCTCGGCATCCGTCATACCACTTAACAGGGCTCGGCATCCGGAATACAACTTAACAGGGCTCGGCATCCGGAATACCACTTAATAGGGCTCGGCATCCGGAATACCACTCAACAGGGCTCGGCATCCGGAATACCACTCAACAGGGCTCGGCATCCGGAATACCACTTAACAGGGCTCGGATTCTGGGGACTGGCACCCTTAAGCATAAAATTCGTCCCGAGCTAAACCTAGCATAATTATTAATCACATATACGTTTTGAAGCAAACACAACACTGCACGTTTCTTTTGACGAAAACTGCCAAACCACATGTACTTTGAATGTATAGAATGTCTACGGAATAATACAGATTAACTATTATTCGTGTCAGAAAATACTTAACTATTAATTCCCCAGAATCCGTGCGACCACTTAGCGACTTTGTCCTGTACCTGATCTTGTTCCAGATGTCTGACACCGGTTTGTGTGGTTCCATTAGAGACTCCGCCTCTCTTTCTCATCGTGACGACATTGTCGTCGGCTACATCCACAGATTCAGCACAGCGTTCACCGTGTTCGACGACAGCAGAGGTAGTTATATGCGTCGTTTCCAGACTCAAGTCTCGTGACCCGGGTTCAAGGTCACCATCCCCCAGCGACATACCACCATTAACTATCCCATCTCCAGGATCAGACAGAACAGACAGTGTTTTTCGAACAGTCAATATCACCTGGATATCCTGTGAATCTGAGTTAATAACTTGCCCTTCTCTTTGAACACTATCCGATTTCCTTTTACCGGTCGCGCTTGATGAAGGGGCATTATTTGGAGAACACGGGGCAGGGTGAGAGATATCGCCCATCTTGGTAGTACCGTTTGGTTCTGGGACGTCGGTTGTCCGCTATGTATTCCAGTGAGACAGGAGTGCACGGTCTCAACCCTATCTGTCTGGCGATTGAACCACAAGGAGATAAAGAGATGTTGGTGTTGTGTCTTCAAGTTGAAACACATCTCTTTCTTATCGATTTGAAATGTGTTTACTGTCTCCGTTTGATGTCTATCACACACTTGGCTAGGTGAGAAGGCTTTGTATACAGGTGGCCATTGTAGAAACCCGGTTCGCCCTGATTATGTTTCTTGATTTGTCAGCACCATACCCGTGCTTGTGGGTTTCACCAAAGTGGTAAATGTCTAAGACCTGCATCACTTTGGGCTTTCCTCTCACATTTAGCTGACACGCCGTGATATAACTGGAATACTGTTCAAAGCGGCGATAAACCAAAGTTACTCGCTATCTCATGATCACTACTGTGCCCCTTCATTCACACACGTGTTGTCATGTAGGGAGGGGTGTAGGCGAGAAGAATTCGTATACCGTGTGTACATTACACGCGTGTCTTCCAACAAGCCGACGACACTTTGTATAATATTAATATAGATGTATTCCCATCATGAAGATCCGGTGTAGAATAGGTCTTCAGCAACCCACGCTTGCCGTAAAAGGCGACTATGCTTGTCGTAAGAGGCGACAACGGGATCGGGTGGTCAGGCTCGCTGACTTGGTTGATGCAAGTCATCGTTTCCTAATTGCGTGGATCGATGCTCATGATATCAATGAGTGGATTGTCTGGTCCAGTCTCGATTATTTACAGACCACCGTCGTTTTGCGAGTGCGGCGTTGAACAACAAACAAACAAAAAGAAACAAATCTTATCATGAGGCACGTGTAGGCACGTACACATATGTTTAAATGATGGAAAAGTATTTGTGTGATGTACTGCCAAAGAATGGTATTTTAAACGCCTTGTAAAAACGCGTTACAATATAGTTTATAATAACGAAAAACAAAACGATTTATTTGGCCTAACGACTAAGCTGATACGAGCGTGTAGCAGACTGTCTGGTCTTCTCTACTGATAGCATGTGGTCAAATGATCATATATGTGCTGTGATATATGTGTGTATATTATTTTAGGTACATATGACCTGTCTACTACCACTCTTCTTGAGTCCAACTTTCCCCACACCAACACCACCTAGAATAATGACGAACTGGTCGCAGCAATTTGTGGGCGAATTCTATGTAAAATTATTTACTAACATAATTAAAAAAGCAACAAAACATGTAGGTAATGAAAAGAAATTCCAAATAAAAGCAGAGTGCATTGTAGAATCCTAAACATGTTTAGATTCTAAACGCGTCAAATCATGAGACAAGAAACGCGTTTAGGTTTGTGTTTACGCAAATTTTGTACCGCGTTATCATATGAAATCTCCTTGTGCGATCCCGACTGAATCATGAGCATGTGTTTATGAATCACTATCAAGTGGTGATATCAGGTGTTCGCGAAAAGCTGAGCGTATCCACTCATCGATGGCACTCGTCACAAACGCATGCAAAGGCAAGTCAATTGATCAGCTGAAAAAAGGGAATTGCATCGGCATCATTTTTGTCTCTGATCCGTTCAATTTGGAATTGTCCTCCAGATGTCTACCATAAAGCCTTTTGAAATTTTTACTAAGGCCTTAATTGTTGTAACTCTGTTCAAACAACGTTTGAGCAAGAGTTGTATGACCCTCTTTGAAATCTTCGTAAAAAGAGCATGCTCGATTGTACATGTGTATGTTTCAGTGAGGAAGTCCAGAATTTATTTTTTCAGTAAACTTTAGCTGACATTTTCTTTCATTTTTTGGACAAACTGTGCCGAACCTTTGAAGACAGAGATGGAACTTTATATATGGTCACAGCGCTTTGTGAAAAATGAATCATGTATCAGGAGTGAAGTTTTCCCTTAGGTTGGGGGTAAAGGACAGTGGTGTAGCGAGTTGAGATATCAACTGTTTTAACACAATTGAACTTTCTTCTTTTCTGTTATTGTAAATTATCAAGCAATTCCGTTGAGTTTTTTTAGAAACCACATGATATTAATTCTACTTGTCCGAAATACTTTCTGTTAACATAAAGCAAGTCCTTCCTTGGCACCATTAAGGATTATTGTTAACCTTTGTGACAGGGATTTGGAGGTACATTTGTTGTACCCAGCATTATCTCTCTCTTCGAAAGCTTTGGAATCTTGTAAAATCGAAACGCTGATAGTACTGATGCGTGGTTTGGGCAGATAACTTCCTCAGTAAACATACTGGCCTTATATGTGGCACAATTTGATACGTCACTCATACAGAGTTGTTTTGGGTCTGTGATATGGGCGATGTGTGATATAGGACCTTAGACTAGGGTCTGTGATATGGGCGATGTGTGATATAGGACTTGAGACTGAGGTCTGTGAGACGGGCGATGTGTGATATAGGACCTTAGACTGAGGTCTGTGATATGGGCGATGTGTGATATAGGACCTTAGACTGAGGTCTGTGAGATGGGCGATGTGTGATATAGGACCTTAGACTGAGGTCTGTTATTTGGGCGATGTGTGATATAGGACCTGAGACTGGGGTCTGTTATTTGGGCGATGTGTGATATAGGACCTGAGATCAGGGTCTGTGAGACGGGCGATGTGTGATATAGGACCTGAGACTGGGGTCTGTGATATTGGCGATGTGTGATATAGGACCTGAGACTAGGGTCTGTGAGACGGGCGATTTGTGATATAGGACCTGAGACAAGGATCTGTGAGAAGGGCGATGTGTGATATAGGACCTGAGACAAGGATCTGTGAGAAGGGTGATATGTGATATAGGACCTGAGACTGGGGTCTGTGATATGAGCGATGTGTGATATAGGACGTGAGACTGAGGTCTGTGATGTGGGCGATGTCTGATATAGGACCTGAGACTGGGGTCTGTGAGATGGGCGATGTGTGATATAGGACCTGAGACTGGGGTCTGTGAGATAGACGATGTGTGATATAGGACGTGAGACTAGGGTCTGTGAGACGGGCGAAGTGTGATATAGGACCTGAGACAAGGATCTGTGAGAAGGGCGATATGTGATATAGGACCTTAGACTGAGGTCTGTGAGATGGGCGATGTGTGATATAGGACCTTACACTGAGGTCTGTGATATGGGCGATGTGTGATATAGGACCTGAGACTGAGATCTGTGAGACCGGCGATGTGTGATATAGGACCTGAGACTGGGGTCTGTGAGACGGGCGATGTATGATATAGGACCTGAGACAAGGATCTGTGAGACGGGCGATGTGTGATATAGGACCTTAGACTGGGGTCTGTGATATAGGCGATGTGTGATATATAGGACCTGAGACTGAGGTCTGTGACATGGGCGAGGTGTGATATAGGACCTGAGACTGGGGTCTGTGAGACGGGCGATGTGGGATATAGGACCTGAGACAAGGATCTGTGAGATGGGCGATGTGTGATATAGGACCCGAGACTGAGGTCTGTGAGATAGACGATGTGTGATATAGGACCTGAGACTATAGTCTGTGAGACGGGCGATGTGTGATATAGGACCTGAGACTGGGGTCTGTGAGATAGACGATGTGTGATATAGGACCTGAGACTATAGTCTGTGAGATGGGCGATGTGTGATATAGGACCTTAGACTGGGGTCTGTGATATAGGCGATGTGTGATATATAGGACCTGAGACTGAGGTCTGTGACATGGGCGAGGTGTGATATAGGACCTGAGACTGGGGTCTGTGAGACGGGCGATGTGGGATATAGGACCTGAGACAAGGATCTGTGAGACGGGCGATGTGTGATATAGGACCTGAGACTGGGGTCTGTGATATTGGCGATGTGTGATATAGGACCTGAGACAAGGGTCTGTGAGAAGGGCGATGTGTGATATAGGACCTGAGACTGGGGTCTGTGAGACGGGCGATGTGTGATATAGGACCTTAGACTGGGGTCTGTGATATAGGCGATGTGTGATATATAGGACCTGAGACTGAGGTCTGTGACATGGGCGAGGTGTGATAAAGGACCTTAGACTGAGGTCTGTGAGACGGGAGATGTGTGATATAGGACCTGAGACTGGGGTCTGTGAGACGGGCGATGTGGGATATAGGACCTCAGACAAGGATCTGTGAGAAGGGCGATATGTGATATAGGACCTGAGACTGGGGTCTGTGATATGAGCGATGTGTAAAATAGGACGTGAGACTGGGGTCTGTGAGATGGGCGATGTGTGATATAGGACCTGAGACTGGGGTCTGTGAGATAGACGATGTGTGATATAGGACCTTAGACTAGGGTCTGTGAGACGGGCGATGTGTGATATAGGACCTGAAACCGGGGTCTGTGAGATGGGCGATGTGTGATATAGGACCTGAGACAAGGATCTGTGAGAAGGGCGATGTGTGATATAGGACCTTAGACTGGGGTCTGTGATATGAGCGATGTGTGATATAGGACGTGAGACTGAGGTCTGTGATGTGGGCGATGTGTGATATAGGTCCTTAGACTGGGGTCTGTGATATGGGCGATGTGTGATATGGGACTTGAGACTGAGGTCTGTGATATGAGCGATGTGTGATATAGGACCTGAGAAAAGGGTCTGTGAGATGGGCGATCTGTGACATAGGACTTGAGACTGAGGTCTGTGAGACGGGCGATGTGTGATAAAGGACCTTAGACTGAGGTCTGTGATATGGGCGATGTGTGATATAGTACCTGAGACAAGGGTCTGTGAGACGGGCGATGTGTAATATATAGGGCCTGAGACTGAGGTCTGTGAGATGTGCGACGTGTGATATAGGACCTGAGACTGGGGTCTGTGAGATGGGCGATGTGTGATATAGGACTTGAGACTGAGGTCTGTGATATGGGCGATGTGTGATATAGGACTTGAGACTGAGGTCTGTGACATTGGCGATGTGTGATATAGGACCTGAGACAAGGGTCTGTGAGATGGGCGATGTGTGATATAGGACTTGAGACAAGGGTCTGTGAGATGGGCGATGTGTGATATAGGACCTCAGACTGAGGTCTGTGAGATGGGCGATGATTGATATAGGACGTGAGACTAGGGTCTGTGAGA